CTAAAGATTTCTAGAAAATTTATCACAAATAACCCATCTGTTTTATAAATTAAATAGATATTTTTATTTTGGTCGTGTAAATTAAATAGATATGAAATCCATGTAACTAATTTTAATTTAATTAGATTAAATCGAAATTATGATATTTTCATACCTATAGCTTACCAAAGAAGTTTAATTTTCAATTTATAGAGATTTATTGAATATGATTTTAGAATTATTCAACAAGATGATAAGTATTTATTAAATTGTGAATCATGAAAAATAATAATTAATTTTTAATCATTATACTTCATCTTTCAATCTCTCATCTAAAAAATAAGATACATATTCTATTATTACTATGTCCAAACTTCATTTTGTTGTATGACTAAATAATATTCCCATTAGAACAGTCAAAGCGAGTTGATTCGTCCCGTTAAGTCCGTTTTGCGATAGACAAAAAATATTTTGACTTGTAGTTAGTCGGTCCGCACGACCCGCGGGTAGCATATATGAAATACAAACCCGTCCCGCGAATGTATGCGGATTTGCGGGATTGTCCATGGATTTTGTTTAAATAATTTTAAAGTAACCAAAATTTAAAATACTACTAAAATAAATAAATAAATAAAAATACTATTAAAAGTTTGTTTAAATTACCACATGTTGAATAAATTATAATTTTATCAATAAATACTAATATGCGGGCTGATCCGCCAACCCGCGGATGAAAACCGATTAAACCTATGACCCACTGCGAATTAATCCATGTGGCCCGCTTATTTGCGGGTTTAATATATTTTCCCAAATCTGCTCCATAGTGAGATGATGTGGGCTCGACCCGCGGTTTTTGACCTATTTTGACTGCTTTAATTCCCACGAATAGTCTAATTTTAGAATTTTAAAACACAAAATTCTATTTTGTAAATCATAATTAATACGATGGGTATATTTATAAACAATTTTACATTTTCTCTACAATTCGTTATTATGAATATTTATAAGTATACTACACGATTCGTTCTACTAAAAACACACACAATATTAAACGCAACGTATGTAAACCAATATTCTCCCGCGGTGGACCGCGGGTCCGATCCTAGTATGTCTATAAAATACATATGATCGCCACGTCAGCATTTTAGGCTCTTCTGGAGATGCCACATCAGCTTTCTTTCCATCCAATCAAAACATTTTATTAATATGAGTCAGCTTTTATTTTTTACACATCAGCTTCTAATTATTAATGTCAAATAGGGAAAACACAATAGCCCATGAGGGATGGCCCATATGAATTTGAAAATCTATTTCACAAGTTAATAATATATTTATTATTTAATTATATATATTATTTAATTTTACATATTGATTTTTACTAATACTAACTTATTTTGTTATTTTATGTTTTTTTCCATGAAATTATTTATTGGTTTTATATACTCCAAAGTTTTTTTCGCTAATTTTTGTAATCTTAACTCAAAATATGAGTGGATAATAGTATAGTGGATTAGCTAATGGTTTAAGTAAGTTTTTCTCTTAATTTTTTGATCTATATATGACACTGAGGGTGAAGAGTACGTAAGGTCATCAAATTTTGGATGTTCTATAATCCTAACATTACCATCTATAAAATTGGTTTAGGAAAGATTGTTTACGGATTGTGTGAGTGATGCAATGTTGAGTATGTTGGTTGAAAATGTATTTTAATACTAAGATTGTTTACGGCTTTAAATTTTCCATTATCCGGATCCGGATCCGGATCCGCTTTTTCATTATCCGGATCCGGATCTGCCCCACCCGGATATCCGGTTTTTCAGAGCGGATCGGAGCGGATCCCGGATCGGATCCCGGATAATTGGTCTCAGGGCTAATTTTGATGCCAGTTTCAGCCAAATCACTATGCAAGCTCGTGGAGGATGGATTATACGGGATCATCACGGTACTGCAAAAGCATGGGGATCTTTAGATTTGAATGGTGCAGCTTCTCCGTTGATGGCCAAAGCAAAAGCACTTCTGACAGCGATGCATCAAGCATGGTTAAGAGGATTCACTCAAGTAATCTTGGAGGGAGACTGTGAAGTATTGATCAACTTAATCAATGGAAATTCCAGTCATAGTGAAGTAGAGAACCTACTGCAAGACATTGGTTTTTGGAGAGGAAAGTTTAGTGATATAAGTTTCAATTTTGTAAAACGATCTTGTAATTGTGTAGCTGATAGTTTAGCCAAATTCGTTTGTCCAATGTCGTTTTTCCTTCCGGATTCATTGATTCCGCCAATATGGCTTAAGGAACTGCTGTGTAACGATTTATTAACTTAATAAAATAAGTTCTTGACGAAAATATATATATTTTTATTTTATATATTGGCTTTCTCTTTAGGAATTTATCTTTCTGAGACTAATTTTGTCACTCAGTTCCGATATTTTCATATTCTATTATTTTTATTTTAATTTTTTGTTTGTATCTTATTAAATCCAATGTTGCAATTGTGTTATTTCTACCTATTTTCGATATTTTAAAAATAATCTTTTATATTTTTAATAAGTGCATAATGTTTATACTACTATCATATGCATTTATACATTTACTTATATAAAATTTTATATTATATTTATGATAAGCTAAAAATTAATAGTATATATAATTATATTTTAGTTTTGTTTTCAATTATTATACACGATACTATTTAGCTATATTTTAACATTTTGTTTACTGTCATTTATAAACTAATCAACAATTATTTTAATTAGTAAATTGTCATAAGATTCATCACTAATTCATTATATATTTTTTGAAAACTAAAAAATGTATGTCTTTCCAACTTTTATACAATTTTTAGAAATACCCAACATATTGATTTTTAAATATGTCATGATTCATTACTATATTTTTTTTGAAAGCTAATAAATGTATGATCTTTCAACTTTCATACAATTTCAAAAATATCCATCATATTAATTTTTAATATATCAATTATAAAACTGAAATGTTTATAAAATTTTTAATATGATTAATCTTAAACATTTTCTCGCTAAAATTCAAATTATATTTTTAGGTATAAATTTATATTTCTTTGCTTTTTATATATAATATTAATTCATTTGTATTTAACTTAAATATTTTATAATTATAAGTAACAGTAAATAAAAATAAGTATGTATTGAATGAACATTTTAAATCAATTATATTTTTTAATTTTTAGTTAGATGCATGCTTAGGTGGATGATGATGTGGATAGCCTAGATGGAGAGAGGACTCTCCCATTATATATATATATATTTGAAAAACGATTGCAACTTTTACTATATATGATATCTACGGTTATACTTTTTCATCAAATTTTCAATTTTAATTACTATTTAAATGAATATGTTGTCACCGTTTAATAGAACATAATAACATTTGGTTTATTTGACGAACCAATGTACGTTTTGATGAAACGTTGTAACCTTTGATTTATTTGATGAACAGTTAAAATATTTGATATAGTTGATGAACCATTGCAACTTTAGTTTATTTGATGAATTATTACAACTTTAGATATATTTGATGAACCGTTACAACATTGTCTTTAATAATATTTTTTTTAGAGCATTAACTAAAACTTTTATTTTTGAGTAAAGTATTAACTAAAGTTGTATCTGTTCATTTAGAATATTATCTTGTCACCAGGAAAATTGGGTAGAAAAACCCTCACCTTTTTAAAAAACATAAACAAACCGTCACCTTTTTTTGTGGGTTTTTAAACCCTTATCTTTTCATAAATGGTAAAATAAACCCTAGTATTAATAAACTCAATTTGAATTCAAGCAAAACGTTATATTAAACACAATAAATATAAACAATTTGATTTAGGATTTTTCTTTTAAAATTCTAGTTTACAATGTTTTTTCTAAATTGAAATTTTTAAGTCATGATGTAAAAAAATTAATTGTTGTGTTACAAAAATTCATCAATGTGAAGCCAAACAGATTTTGTTACGAATAATATATAAATTCTTATATTGAACCGAATATGAGTTTATGTTAATAAAGGTTTATTCGGTTCAATCACACAAATTTGCTAACGTAAAACCAAACCAAATTTTATAATACTACGAAAAATATATGAATTTCCACATCAAAATATTTTTATCGGACAAACTAAATAAAATTTGCTAACAAAATTTACTAACAGTTAATATTTCTATATAAATATTACGATACATTGAAAATAATATAAATAACATATAGTTAATATTTATTTAACTATATTGTTGGTGTCGGATCCCGCACGGTTAGTTCGGGACCAACCAAAGATTGCCGCGTAGGTAGAAGAGAAGCCTACAAGGGATAAAGCCCACTAGATCCACAAACAAGGGGCATGGGCGAGGTGGTTTCACCGCAAAAGGAGATCGAAGTGTTTGCATCTCGAGATGAGAACGAAGTCGAAGTCACGGACAATTCGGTTCAGGACTGTTGGGCTAAAAGACAAGGCCCACGAAGAACGGAGTCAATTCAAATTCAAACGTTTGAACATTAAACTCGAAGACTGAAACAGGCACATTTAAGAGAAAATAATTGTATTTAATTAGGAGTTAAATATCATTAGTGAGTATAAATATAAGGGCCAAAGGTCATGTAAGGACAGACGCAATTCTTTCTAGCAATTATACTATAGCTATTTTTCATACCAATTCATAGCTTTTGGGCAACAATTTCTATACTCAAGAATAATCATTCTCATTAAATATATAAATATTTGAGTGTGTGAGTCCGACATCCACATTTTGGCGCCGTCTGTGGGGAGAAAAGATTCTTGAGTGGTCAGATTTCCATTTCTGAGATAAGCAGCAATGTCCGGAGGAGACATCCCTGATGCATCATTGGCCGAAACTCTCAAAGCCATGCAGCAAACCATGTCGGAAATGTCACAGAAGTTCTCGAATGTGGAAAAGGCCGTTGACTCGTTACAAACTATCTAGGTATCTCTTAGTCAAAACGTCAGTACTATACAATCTCGTGTTCGCTCTTTGAGTGCAGGAAACCACGTTGGAGTCCGAAGAAGAATGTTCAATTCGCCAAGCTCCCTTGCGCGAAATGAGACCAGCGGAAAAATAACTCCTGATGCCACTAATACGGTAGTCTAGCCGGCGGACGGAGAGACGCAACTTGAGGACGAAGATCAACTTGCAGATCAGTACGAGCAAGAAAGCCTTGACCAGTTCGAGACTCTGAGAAAGGTTAGCCAAGAACTAAAGGAAATGAAATCAAAGTTCCACCAGGCCACTAGTTCAGAGCCAGATATCAATCGAGTCATTGAAGAAGCCAGGCGAACACCTTTCATCCCGCGAATTGCAAGTTTGAGAATCAAAGATTCTCGGAAGCTCAAACTGGAGCCCTACAGCGGACTAGAAGACCCAAAGAGTTATCTCGCAGCCTTTTTGATTGCCGCTGGACGAGTCGAATTGGATGAAGCCGATGAGGATGCGGGATATTGCAAACTCTTTTCAGAAAATCTTTGTGGCCAAGCACTAATGTGGTTTACCCAGTTAGAGCCAGGTTCAATCAGCAGTTTTGACGAGCTGTCAGCTATTTTCTTAAAACAATATTCTACCCTTATGGATAAAAGCGTTTCGGACGCTGACCTTTGGAATTTATCACAAGGATCGAATGAGTCACTTCTAATTTTCATCACCAAGTTCAAAGGGGTACTGTCGAAGCTCCCAAGAATTTCACAATAGTCAGCTTTATCTGCCCTACGAAAAGGTTTGCGGCATGATTCAAGGTTCAAAGAAGATCTAATACTTCATAAACCAGACACAATTCAAGACGCACTTTTCCGCGCAAACAATTGGATGGAAGTAGAAGATGAAAAAGAGAATTTCGCCACAAGAAATAAACAAGAAAAACCGGCGGTCACTTTCCCTACCAAAAAGTTTGAGCCCAGAGAAAACAAAGGACCAAGAAAGTTTGGGTCACAGCCCTTCAACAATATCGTCGGAAAACAATTCCAAGGAAAAGGAAAGTCGAACACGTGGGTCCGTGACGAGAGTTTATATTGTGACATCCATAAGGTGACCGGGCACTTAACCAAAGATTACAGTGTCCTTAAAAGGCATCTCGCGGAGCTGTGGGCCAGTGGAGATCTTTCCAAATTCAACATGGAGAATTTCGTGAAGGAATACCACGAAGCAAGAGATTATGTCAAAGATCAGAACTCCAAAAGAGCAAGGTTGTCCAATGAAGAAGAACCAAGGAGTTCGAAAGGAAAGATCAATGTAATTCTAGGAGGTTCCAAACATTGCCGAGATTCGATTAGTTCCATCAAGAAGCATAGGCGAAATGTTTCACTCAAAGCAAACTTGGGCGAAGAAGTTGACTTTCAAGGTACATCAATATCATTTGACGAGGAAGAAACGCGGCACCTCGAAAGATCTCATGATGACGCCCTCGTCATTACCTTGGACATTGCCAACTTCGAAATGTCAAGGATCCTCATCGATACAGACAGTTCGGTCGATTTAATCTTTTTAAGTACTTTGGAAAGAATGAGAATTAGTCGGCAGACATAGTAGGACCTCCATCTCCCTTAGTGTCGTTCACAAGTGAGTCAGCGATGTCTCTCGGAACGATCAAGCTACCAGTTCTTGCCAAAAAGGTGTCGAAAATCGTGGACTTCGTTGTTTTCAATAAACCGGTAGCTTACTCATCATCCTCGGGACTCCGTGGATTTATCAAATGAAGGCAGTCCCCTCTACATATCACCAATGCATCAAATTTCCAACACCAACTAGAGTGGAAACAGTTCGGGGAGATCAAGAAGCTTCACGAACATGTTACCTAGCTAGCCACCGTTTGAAGATTCAGTAGCAATTAACGAAGCCCGCAGAAAAGGGAATAATTCCAAGATTTCCTAGTGGGCAGAAAGAGGATGACGTAGTAACCGAAGTAGTATTAGAAGAAGACAAACCAGATCGGAAAGTCCGAATTGGAGTTACTTTGATCGGCAAAATAAAAGAGGCTTTAATCAAACTTTTGAGGAAAAACAAGACATCATTTGTGTGGTCGGCGGTGGATATGCCTGGCATAGATCCAAGCATAATTCGTCATGAACTTAACGTGGATCCGAGCTTCAAGCCTGTAAAACAAAAAAAGAAGAAAACTCGGAGTAGAGCGAGCAAAAATAGTAAATGACGAAGTGGACAAACTCTTAAAGATAGGGTCCATAAGGGAAGTGCAGTACCCGGAGTGGGTAGCTAACACCGTCGTGCTCAAAAAGAAGAATGGAAAGGACAGGGTATGCATCGACTTCACGGACCTCAATAAAGCGTGTCCAAAGGATAGTTTCCCGCTCCCGCATATAGACCGGCTCGTAGAATCTACTGCTTGGAATGAACTATTAACTTTCATGGATGCCTTCTTGGGTTATAATCAAATAATGATGAATCCCGAGGACCAGGAAAAAACGTCATTCATCACGGATAGAGGTATTTATTGTTATAAAGTAATGCCTATTTGTTTAAAAAATGCAGGAGCAACTTATCAACGGCTGGTTGATAAAATGTTCCATGATCATCTCGGGAAGACAATGGAAGTCTACATAGATGATATGTTGGTTAAGTCGTTGAAGAAAGAAGGCCACGTTAAGAATTTGGAAAAGTGTTTTGAAATTTTGAACCAATATCAAATGAAGCAAAACCCGGCGAAGTGCACATTTGGAGTCTCATCCGGGGAGTTTCTTGGCTATATTGTGACAAAAAGGGGAATTGAGGCCAATCCAAATCAAATCAACCCCTTTCTGAACATGTCGTCTCCAAAAAACTTCAAGGAAGTACAGCTGTTGACTGGGCAGATTGCGGCTTTGAACCGTTTTATTTCAAAATCAACGGATAAATCTTTACCTTTTTATCAAATTCTAAAAGGAAACAAAGGATTCCTTTGGGATGAAAAGTGTGAAGAAGCCTTTGGGCAACTTAAGGCATACTTAACTACTCCACCTATATTGTCTAAACCCGAGGTGGATGAAAAGCTTTACTTGTACGTATCAGTTTCGGATCATGCGGTTAGTGGAGTCTTAATCCGGGAGGACCGCGGGGAGCAAAAGCCGATCTACTACATAAGTAAGTCAATGACAGATCCAGAAACCAGATATACAATGATGGAAAAACTCGCACTTGCGGTAGTGACTTCAGCCCGGAAGTTGCGCCCATATTATCAATCCCATCCAATCGAAGTGTTAACTAACCAGCCACTTCGAACAAAACTTCATAGTCCAAGTCAGTCCGGACGGTTGGCAAAGTGGGCGATAGAGCTGAGCGAGTACGATATAGAATATAAAAGCCGAGTCAGCATGAAGGCCCAAGTTTTAGCAGATTTCCTGACCGAACTACCAATGCTTGGCATGCTAGAGCAACCGGAGAATCGAACTTGGAAGTTGCACGTAGACGGATCTTCATCAAAACAAGGATCCGGAGTAGGAATCAAGCTGCAATCTCCCATATCGGAAATTCTGGAACAGTCGTTCCGATTATTGTTTAATGCTTCCAACAATGAGGCAGAGTATGAAGCCCTAATTGCCGGACTTCGATTGGCACAAGGAGTTGGAGCTGAGGAAATAGTTGCTTATTGTGATTCGCAACTAGTAGTTAATCAGTTCAATGGAGACTATGAAGCCAAAGATTGAAGAATGGAAGCATATCTCGAAGTTGTAAAGGATCTATAAAAAAATTTCAAGAAATTCAAGCTAATTCGTATACCTCGAGGAGAGAATACAATAGCGGATGCACTTGCAGCATTAGCATCAACGTCAGAACCTGAATTGAAAAGAATCATTCCGGTAGAATGCATCTCGGAACGAAGCATTAAAGAAGACAAAGAAACTCTCGTCATTACAAGATCTCGAGCAGCGGCGCGTGACCGTGGTGAACCTGGGATCGAGCTACCTCCCATCAAACGGAGAAAATCAAGAGAGTCAAACATATCTGAGCCTAATATATCCAAGGAAAGCGGTAGCGAGGAGGCTGTCATCCTGTCAGAAGGCGCAATTCCGGAAACAGTTACAGAGACCAGGTCATTAATCGAAGAGGCTACTCTTGAGCCAAACGAGCATCCCGAACCGGAACCACGAATATTCCATGAAGACGACCAAATTCCGGCTAAAGACTGGGGGGCTGATTGGAGGGAGCCAATAAAGCACTACATTAAGACCGGCGAGCTCCCAAAAGATAAATGGCAGGCCAGGAAAATGAGAATCGTTAGCGCGAAATTTTGTCTATCGAAGGATGCGTTGTATAAACGAGGAGTCAGCGACCCTTACCTGCTATGCGTTTTTGGACCTGAAGTCGAAATTGTCATGAGCGAGGTGCACGAGGGTTTGTGTGAGAGTCATTCATCAGGAAGGGCTATGGCTTTTAAAATTAAAAGAATGGGGTATTTCTGGCCCACTATGATCACGGATTGTGTCAAGTTCGCCCAGAGGTGTAAGCGCTGTCAACTTCATGCACCGTTAATCCATCAACCTTAGGAGGTATTCTCCTCCATCTCCGCCCCATACCCGTTCATGAGGTGGTCGATGGATATCATTGGTCCATTGCATAGATCAACTCGAGGAGTACAGTACCTTTTGGTCTTGACAGATTACTTTACGAAGTGGATTGAAGCTGAAGCATACGTTAGCATCAAAGATTCGGCGGTGAATACTTTCAATTGGAAAAATATCATATGTCGACATGGGGTTCCATACGAGATAGTCACTGATAATGGGCCGCAGTTCATTTCGCACGAGTTCAAAGCTTTTTGTTCGGATTGGAGAATCAAAGTCAGTTACTCTACTCCATGGTATCCACAAGGAAATGGCCAAGCCGAGGCCGCGAACAAGACAATTTTGAGGAACCTCAAAAAACGCTTGAATCACCTAAAAGGAGGATGGTATGATGAACTCCAACCAGTCTTGTGGGCTTATCGCACAACCCCTAGGCGATCTACTGGAGAAACTCCGTTCTCTTTGGTTTATGGCTTGAAGGCGGTAGTACCGGCCGAACTTAACGTACCTGGACTTCGCCGAACAGAAGCACCATTGAATGAAGAAGAGAATTCAGCAACGCTTGACGACTCGCTAGATACCATTAATGAAAGGAAAGATCAAGCTTTAATTCCGATTCAAAATTACGAACAGGCAGCAGCTCGATACTACAACTCCAAAGTCAAAAGTAGACCGTTATTTGTAGGAGATTATGTGCTAAGACGAGTCTTTGACAATAAAAAGGAACAAGGCGCAGGGAAACTCGGCATTAATTGGGAAGGACCTTACATTGTTACCGAAGTGGTTCGCAATGGCGTTTATAGGTTGAAAGACTTAGAAGACAGGCCAGTCAAGCGACCTTGGAATGTGTTCAACCTAAAGAAGTTTTACGTTTAAGTGACACGCATTTTTACTATGTACATGAACTATGGTGTGGCTTGATCTCGAAATGGGTACGTAGGCAGCTCGGAAACGAGTTCAGCTATTAATAAAATTTGTTTTATTTTGTCATTATAGGAAAAAGTTCGACTGTGCGAACGAAAAAGGTAAGTAAAGTTCGATTACGTGAACGTGCAAAGATTGGAAACAAAGTAACACTTATTCAGCAATATGAAAGTAAGACGAAGAGTCGCCATGCACGCACTTCGAATTAAGAGATTCTTCCTGATGAGCAGAACACTTGAACTCCTTGACTAGCTAGGTCAAGGATTGGCATCATACAGTCCGTAATGCGAGCAAATTCGGAGATTTCAAGCTCGATCCATTCTCCGGGGTGAGAGCCGAGAATGTGAAGATCTCTTGATATCGCAGTAACCCTGCGTTGCATTCGATGAATCTTTTTTCGGAGTTTCTTCCTTTCCAGCGTTAGCTTCCAATGTTGAACCGCAAGTGCTTTGATGAATGCCATCGCAGTCTCTTGGTCTCTGTTCGGGAGGTCCTTGATCAAAGCGCACGGGGCTTGGATTTGAGACCTGAAGATGCTGCAGGGTAGAGAGGGTTGCCCGCTTGATGCATCTCCATCCATCATTCCGACCCTGGAGAAATCTGACATGGACTCTGAGCATCGAAGGTCGAATTCCATACCTGCAAAAGAAGAAGAGAATGGTGAGGAATAAGAGAAGTTGAAGCTATAACTTATAGGAACATCATATCCCTAGTAAGTTGCGGTTCCCATCCTGGAACGGAGTGATTCGCGGAGAGATTTATGCCTTTAACCAATCCTGCATTCAAAATATATCTCCAAAAAATATTTCGAAAAAGGAAGGTAATAAGTTTTCCATAAACAAAATGGGCCGAAGCCTATTACGAGTCCAAAAGTTTTAAAAGAAAAACGAGGTGAAATAAAGTGAGCAGAGTTCGGGACAATTATGGAAGAGGCTCAGGAACAGGCTCCTTCATCGCCGGTTTGGACTTCGAAGTGGACGCCCCTTCTTGCCATCCACTCCGGGTTCGCTCCGAACACGTTAGCAAGGGATGTCGTCCTCCTTCTCGCCCTCTTCCTCGCTGTCAAGAGGGACGACTTCGACCGGGGCATTCACGGGTCCTGGAACCTGACCTCTACCGCGGAGATACATCCGGAGCATCCTCGGGGTCTCCACGATAGAATCAAAGTTCCTCCATTCCCATTGAAAAGGGTCGCTTTCCAGAGCCCTCACCTTCCTCTCCACTCGAGCAATGCGAGCCTCGAGTGTTTGCCTTTTAAGACCCAGCCGCTGCCGTTCATCGCACAAACGGCAATGTTTGTCGACAACCTGGCATGGAGATTGAATGAATTTAAAAAAAAAAAGACGGAAAGTTTTGATCAACGAGAACAAATACTAATCTTGTCCATGAAATCATAAGCTTTTTTTCTTTTCCCTCGAAGGGAAGTGAAACACGGCGTGAGGAAAGAGGACACCTGCCGGCTCGAAACCGTCGCCGGATAGGAAAAGTGGGCTGCCGGGGTCAATGGGGGCTACGTTTTCGTTTTCCATTTTTGCGGTGTCTACAGAATAAATTCTGAAATCCCTTGAAAAAGTTCAGAGGCAGATGAGCCCTTATTTATAATGGTTTAGGGTTTGTCTTGGAACCGTAAACCCAATAATGGTGGCATGCCCGAGTGGTTTAAACCGTTTTTGGAAGTTGTAGAAAAGCAGTTATTGCCTTAAAGACGTGTGACTTTTCCTATTTCCCAAGGAGTGGGAAGGGAAAGAGCAACCGTCGCATTAAAGGCGAAAAAGCCCATTATAAATAACTTTTGTGGGCCAAGCCCAACAAATTTACCGAGTTGACTAAACCCGAAGTGCAGAACTCGCGTTAAGCCGAGCTCAGCTCTCGCATTCTAAGAGAAAGGTCTGATCAGCCTAGAAAATCTCGAAAGCATAGCCACAAGGCCAAAAAAGTATTAAAAAGCGGACTTTGCAAACCCGCGCATTATTTTAACCAAACCCTCAAAAGACTATAACTTGAAAAGGTTTAAAAGCCTCCTTAGACATATATCTTGTTCAAAAAAAATGAAAATATATAGTAATAATAAAGCCTCCTTAGGCGAAAGAAAAAAAAGGCATATCCAAATATAAAAATTTAAGTTTTTCGAACAGGCGGGACAAGCCCCAATTCAAAGTGGACACAGCCACTACAGGTTAGGAGCCACCTCAGGCTCATTTCCAGACGGGGGTGCTTCATCCGATTCCACAGCTGGGGCCTGCTCAGAAGAAGTTCCTTACTCACTCCCAACGGCACCGTCACCTTCCGAGGTGACCACCGGTGCAGCAGCAACCTCAGATGGGGTAGCACCTTCCGGCTCGCTTGAACTTGTGAAAGATGAGTTCAGTCAGGCGAAGACACAATACATGTAAACGGTGAATGCCGAGAGTAGGAATTACCTGCCCAATCCAAACCCGATTCACTCAGGGGAGGAGATTCAGTGAAGAACTCCTCGAACTGCTGAGGGTTGAAGGCCGAAGCAGGGAGAGCTGCAAAACGACTTCGTTTTTCAGCCAAGCTGGTCGTCAGTTCGGACCTCTCTTGCTCTTCGGAGAAACCCTCCTCATGAATTTGGTCCAACAAGAGTAGGTTTCTCTCGTGTTCCTTGATATCCGATTCCAGCTCCAACCGCGCCTTCTCGGTTTAAATGAAGCGAATAGCTCCCTGAATCAGCTCCATCCTGCGTCCCTTGACCTCCTTTCTGGCCTTCGATGCTGACTTAGCCAATTCAGAATCCCTTAGTTTGACGACCACTTTGTACTTCGCGTCAAGTTCGATGTATTGGTTGTTCAGAGTATAAGCAGTCAATTCGGATTCAGCGAGTCGGCCCTGAATTGCGGAAAATTCCTCCAGAAGTTGGCAATTCTGGTCGTACTGGTCCTGCAGCTCGCTCTTTATCTTTGAGAGCTCGGATGTGAGACCATCAACTCGGTCTTCCAGTTCGTGCTTGGAGTCGGAGGAGGAGCGGAGGTCAGTCTCGAGAGTAGAAAGCTTGCTCTTCCACGCCTTGATCTCCTGTTCCCGACTAAGCAGTAGCCCCTCATAGTGTTCAACCATATCATTGAGTTCGCTGTTTGCCTGGCATTTTGCGTAAACCCGAGATGGTGAGCTAATACGAAAGGTAAAAAATAATAAATAACAATGAAACAGGACTAACCCGAGATGAATGGTACGCATGGAGTAAGAAGCGTTCACGAATTGCAGGGCGCCACTTGTCGAAATCCGGCAGAATCGCGCCCGATTGGGTTTTGAAGCATCGGAAGACGCTACCCTCTTTCTCCATAGCTGTGAAGGCAGAAGAAGAAGAGATTGTAGAATTTGGAATCTGAACAGGATGAAAACTTTAAAGTGTGAATAAATCATTGTCGGACCTGAAAGCGATTTGCTTTGAGGGACGAGTACAACTTTCGACTTCGGGAGAGCATCTAGATGCTCAGTACCCCCCACTTTAGGAGAAGCGCTTCGGGCAGTCTTCTCGCCACTGTGTTGGGGAGAGGAAGACATGTCAACAGGAGGAGGAGAACCCATTGGTTCGGTAGGAGGGGACGATCGAGGAGAAAGGTCAGTCCGGGTCCTTGACTTTTCCCTCCGCATAGAGGAACCACTGCGAGATGACCTGTCTCTCTTCTTGCGAATCAAATTTTTAAGCGGTTCGTTGCTGAAATCATCTCGGGGAGGACGAGGAGAGTCACGATGAGGAGATCGGGCCCTCCGAGGAGAACGATCATCACGACGTTCACGACGAGGTGTCAATCTGAAAGCAGAGATGGATCTAGCTCCTTTGGTGCTACGATCGTCCACAAGCAAGGTCCTACTATTGTATTTTTTGTCAATGGCGGTCGCAAGGAACGCCTTGTTCTCCTCGCAAGCCTCAACCATCGGCTTGGAGAGCATCTTGCGTTGGGCAGTGAGGGCCCGAACTGACATTCCTTGAGTCGGGGGAGGAGGCGGAAGACGGTGAAGTTGTCCAGGGGGACTCATCCTCAGTTTCTGATTGGCCTCTATAAACCGTTCAAGGGTAAAGGAGTTCCAAAGGGTTTCCCCTTCGAGGATTATTTTGAAGAATTTGATTAATTCTTCGGATGGGAGAGTCGGAGCAATGAAAGCTGTAAAATGAAATAACAAGTCTAGTTAGTAGAAAGAAGGCAAGAAGATAAGGAAAAGATTTACTTGACCTAATTTCTACCGGGTTTCGTAGATCACTTCGATGGAAGCACTTCGGAAAGGTTTCCAATCGAAGCGGGGGTTTTGTTAATCAAAAACCAAGAGTGGTGCTAATTCTCATCTTTGTTCGGAAGATGAGAGATGAGGTTTCTGTTGGCATTCGGGTATGCCGAGAAGTATCCTGTTTTCTTCGACGAACTTCTCACGCTTAGAAGCTTGTTCAATTCGGGAACCCCGATAATATAACCAGCCTCCGCCGCAATGGTTATAATCCCAAGGATAGTTCGGAGGAGATTGGGAGTTAATTGGGGCAAAGCAATCTCAAGAGCTGCTAGGTATCGGACTAGGGCTTCAGGAAGGGGAAAGGTTAATCCGCAGCCCTTGAAATAGATCTCGTACACACAGAAATAGCCTTCACAGTAGTTTCGGGGACTCCGTGGGACTGGCTATTTGTGCCTCCGCCATAATTCCCGGCGGAATCTGACAAAGCTTTTTCAATCGCTCGAGGGATTGAAGAGTACATGTGGATCTGTAGTATGGACCAGCGACGTCATTAGGGCGAGTGCACTCGTCGTTGCTGGAGTGCCTCTCATCGTAGGAAGGAGATTCGGGTCTATCGGAGTCAGAAGTCATCGAGAGAAATGGTGTCCGGAGTTGAAGTTCAGAGAAGAGAAATTTGGCAAAGGAAAGCAGAGAGAAATTTCGATTAAAGGAAAAGAGTAAAAATAAAAATGAAAGAAGTTACCTCACGCAAGCTAAGTGGAGATGATGGAACCACCTCGGGAGTCGTGGGGGAAGTGGGAAAGTTTTCCCCGTTTTAATAGTAATTAATTAACATACGGTCATAATGATGACAGATGTCATACAGTTAAAAAAAGATAGTGCCGAAATTAAAGGAGTGATGGGATTTCCGGCGGGAAATCAAAAGATTCTCAAGCGCAATCTTTGGTCATTAAAGCATTAAAATCTTCCGAACTAAAATAGCACTTCGGAAGACTTGGGGGGCTAATTGTTGGTGTCGGATCCCGCACAGTTAGTTCGGGACCAACCAAAGATTGCCGCGTAGGTAGAAGAGAAGCCCACAAGGGATAAGGCCCACTAGATCCATAAACAAGGGGCATGGGCGAGGTGGTTTCACCGCGAAAGGAGATCGAAGTGTTTGCATCTCGAGATGAGAACGAAGTCGAAGTCACGGACAATTCGGTTCAGGACTGTTGGGCTAAAAGACAAGGCCCACGAAGAACGGAGTCAATTCAAATTCAAACGTTTGAACATTAACTCGAAGACTGAAACGGGCACATTTAAGAGAAAATAATTGTATTTAATTAGGAGTTAAATGTCATTAGTGAGTATAAATATAAGGGTCAAAGGTCATGTAAGGACAGACGCAATTCTTTCTAGCAATTATACTAGAGAATTAATCTACATACTCTCCTCTAATCCACATACTCTCCTTCTTTTAATGAAAGAACGAAACTACCCCTTTCTTAGGTATACGTGGTACAACTGGTACCTCTCTAGTTGTACCTCCTCCTAGTTGTACCACCTAGTTGTACCTCCTCCTAGTTGTACTACAACCCTAGTTGTACTACACCGTAGATGTACCAGAATATTCCCGAATATTCCCTAGTTGTACCAGTTACAACCCGTATAAAAGGATTCGAACCCTGGGGGCGCGCGCGTGCGCATGAAGCTCGCAACCACTGAGCTATTGTGTTTTTCGTTGAACACTTACCGATTTAATTGTATTTAACCCTTATCACCCGAAATCAACCCTCATTAAGAGTAATTTTGTCTTTCTACCATTGAGGAGTATTTGAGACTAAATTTTGAATCTGAGGAGTATCTGAGAATTTGATCGATTATACTATAGCTATTTTTCATACCAATTCATAGCTTTTGGGCAACAATTTATATACTCAAGAATAATCATTCTCATTAAATAAATAAATATTTGAGTGTGTGAGTCCGACATCCACATATATTTTTATCCAAATACTGAAAACTCGAACAAAAAAAAAAATCTAATTTGCTATCCCATAAATTTTTGTAGTTTATATAACATAACTTCTAATGGTAACAAAAATGATTTACCTAATCTCAACTAAATTGTAAATGAATTTTTAAAGCACAACAGCCTTAATTTTAGAAAAAAAATTGCAAACTCGAATTTGAAAAAAATCATAAATTAAATTATTTTTGTTTCTTATTGTTTTAATATGACGATTTAAAAAAATAAGTTGAGTTTATTAATATTAGGGTTTATTTTACCATTTATCAAAATGTGAGGGTTTTAAAACCCACCAAAAAAGTTGAGGGTTTTTAACATGTTTTTAGGAAAGGTGAGGATTTTTTTACCCATTTTTCTTTGTCACCATGTTTTATTCGTGTTTTTCATTACAAACATTTCGTTCTAATAATTGTGTCTTTTACAAACAATATTTTCTATTTATACTTTCATGTCTTTATATATATATATATATATATATTTTAAAGTGGTGTAAATTTATTATCTCTTTTTATTTGATATTTTTCATAGAAAGTTACATTTTTACTATTTAGCATTCATGTATATACTTTGTTATCTATCTCATTATTATTTGTTTCTAAATAATTATCTATTTTGGTTATTTGTTAAAATTTTCCGAAGATTGTCTCTTTTTAACATAATACATTTAAAATATTGCGTCTTTTATCGTAATATATAGTTATAGTTATAGTTATAGTTATATTATTTATATTTATATAGTTTAGAAAATTGAAAAATTGCATCTACTCATTATAATTTTTTCTCTTATTTTTTTTATTTATAATCGCATCTTTTCACCATAATATTTTCTAATTATAATAAAAATCTTAAAAAATGTTTTTGAGGAAATACGTCTCTTTATAATTGTTTTTTGAAAAATATCTCTTTATTTATTGTTAAAAAAATTGTTTCCAAACTTATTGTCTCAATTCAAATGTCGTTTGAGTACATGTAGAAAAAAAAGGATTATAGGTATTTTGCCATTTTCGAACATTTAAAAAATTCAAAATTTTGATTTTTTTATAAAATGCATACTTTATTAACAAATACTAAACTCTAAGAACAAATAGATAGGACTAAATCCAAACATAACGGATAAAACGTATGTTAAATCTTATTTTTATAATCTGAAAAATGATAAATCCGTAAGATTTTTGAGAAAGTGGCAAATCCACAAATGTCACTCCAAAAAATGGCAACTCATAGGCTCCGACTGGTAACCATTAAAAGAACAAAAAGAAATTGAATAAAAAGAACAATGCGGAATGGAACAAACAATTTTTGAGGAACGAAAAGGAAAAGATGCAGAGAATGAATAAAATGTGCTATTATGATGAATGGTAACCAAATAATAAAAATATCTTTAAAGATATATTAAATATTAAATAAATCAAATTTCAATAAAAAATACTAGATATTTTTTATATTTATTTAATTTTATATTTAATTTGAAACTAAAATTTGTGAACTAAATTTTTATATATCATTTTAAATAATAATATTTGATATTAACATAAAATAAAATTGAAAGAGTAATTTAAAATATATTATTCTTTTACAATATAAAATTTTTTAAATTTATTTTACTATTTATATAATTTTCAAATGAAGACTTAAGAGTAATTCAGCATGAAATTCTTATCAAAAATATTTTTTCTGTTAATATATTTTGAAGATATGAAAATTATTATATAGTAAAATACAAATATTATTGATAAATATTATTTTTTATTTATTTTAAAATAAAAAACGAATTTTAATATTTGTTCCTTTTTTGTTCCATTTTGTTCCTCATCAATTTTGGAGAGGAACATTTTTGTTCTAGTGTTCCTCTTTTGGTGAGGAATGTAGAGGAATGGTGTGGAAAAAATATTACTTGTAAATGGTAAAAATATTGAGGAACAAAGAGGAATATCACATTCCTTCTCATTCTTTTCCTAAATTATGGTTACCAATTGAAGCCATAATTGATTTAAAAATAAATGGTATAAGCTTAAATTTTAACTCTAATTAGTTAGAGGTTTTTGCAAGTTTCGGCTGGTTTTAGTGGTTTAACTCAAATCTATTTTTTACTTCTAACTTATTTGAAATTTGGCTAAATTAATTGAATCCTCTACCTTTTGTTAGGGGTGGGCAAAAATGTCTTGGATGAAGTTTTGTGTTTTACTATTGAAAGAATTATTTTTTTACATTTCATTTTAAAATTTTTTCTTTAAATTTTTTTGAAATCTTTTCCCTCGCGATATTGCAGGGGTCTAAGTCCTAGTCAATATAATAATAACACTAAAGTACCTAATATAAAGAAGTACCCAAGGAAAAACCCTCACTCCATCTTGAAGCACTATTGATCGAAGAGTAAAAGAGTTGATAATTCCAATTAGTAAAACGTCACCAAAACTCAATGTTCAAATCAAACTAAAGAAAATACTTAGTTGGTTAGTGCTAAACTATCGAAAGAAAATACATCTCTCCTTGTCAATACTCAATACAATTATTTCTCCAATAATAATACTAAAGGCCTGGGGAGTGCTAAACTTGTCAATGTCTTCAAAGTAACAGAAAACATAATGAATTTGAGGATATGGAAAACTTCTTCAAGCCTAAAATTCTTCACTTTCTCTTGTATCAAAATGCTGAAAGCAAAAAATGGCAATGGCTATGAAAATTTCTACAACTTAATAGTCTATATGCTGCTCTTATTGATCATCAAAGTTTTTGTATCTAGATCTACCTGAGTCTTTTCTTATGATATAACAGAGACAATTATACGCATCAAGAGAGAGAGAAGACATTGGTTACCAAAGTTCTCAACGTCATTCATAATCTTCCTAAAGCTCACGTTATCAATAGGCTCCATGCCTTGTTTTTTCATCTCCTCTGGATTGCGATTATACATTTTTTTTGGTTTTAAATTATCCTGAAACAAAGAAGAAACATCAAGCTTTGCGATTCCATAACTTGAATCTGTGAAAACATCAAAATTAAATTCCGATTCCCATTTGTCCGATTAATCTAGATTTAAAAATTTACGAAAGACGATGAAATTTAGAGATCGAACCAGGAATAAGAAGAGATAATCATAGAAGCTAGCTTGGGAAGGATCTGAGCTGCGATAGAGTCGAAAAGGGTTTTAGGAAGAGAATTTTAACCAATCTGCCCTTGTTTCGTGTTTTAATTTTACCCAATGACATTATGAAAACTTCGTTTCCGTAAGAGGTCATATGGGCATTCCGTGGCACATGGTTAAGACGGATTTGCCCTCATGGACATTGTCGCGAGGATGTGATGATGTGTGACATGTCTGACGGTATTTGAATCTATGATAGCTAATTTTTTCCGCCAGGACGTAGGTCGTACACTCCATTTAATGGTGCATTAATTAAGGGCAATCGAGTGCTAAAAATTATTTAGTGGCTAATAGATTGTTTGGATTACTTTGATATTTACACAGATCTTCGATAATAGTTGTCTACAATTTCAACAAATGAACTCTCCTTCGTTTGAAGACTAACTGCGATTTTCGTATCTGGGAAATTATCGAAGAAAAATTCTTGTACCTAGTCCACCAATTCTGTAAGATCTCGAAGATTATCAATGTCTTATGATTTGATAAAATTTGTAGACAATAAATTATTTTTAGCACTATCTTTTTCAGCATTTAATTCAGGTGTTTTGGGGAATAAATGTTATGTTTGTTCATCATTTCGTCAATAAATGCTGTTTTTTTTGCAGGTGGTGGACAGCGGTGGACAATTGTTCGATGGACGAAACAGTACTCGCAATTTCCAGTGAATGGATATGCTTGGCTAGTGGTAAGTGGGAATTTCGGATAGCCCCAAACCGTGAAGGATTCTCTTCCCCACGGATACGAAAAAAACGTGTCCAAGTGCCTCACCATTTCTACCACCTCCGTTGATGCTCTCACAGGCTGGCTGTCACAGATCAGAATCCCTTCCACAATCACTATTAGTGCAAGCCTCAGTTTTTTCCAACCAGGCATCTGTGCCTTTAAAGGCTTCCTACTATCCACCTTCACCTCACAATGTCCTCGATAGTAACCACCTTCTTATTACCAAACAAAGTCTTCCAAAACGGCTCTGAATTACCACTTGAATTTTGCGCCTTTTGAATGTCTTTTGCTGCTGGATATGGAAAGCAAGGAAGTCCCGTTACGAGAGCAAACTCTCTGAGTGAGAAACGAAACGGATGTCCACCGAAAACGAACCATAACTCATGTTCCTTGGCTGTAACAAGCGAACGGCATAAAATGTTGTGGACCAGTTTTCCCGACAGTGAACATTTCCTAATTGGCAATTCAAACAGAGAACCCAATGGACAATCTTGTAGGTATTGCAATTCCTTAGTACCCTCCAAAACATCTACAATGTCGAGCAAATACTCTGGTTTCGAGTACGAGTTTATTCGTCCTTTTACAGGGTAGCGATCTGTTGCAAATAGTCGTTCAGGGAGAAATTCTGGAACAATTGTTATGTTCTCGCCACTGTCCCTCTCTCCCCTGTTTGGATTTAAACCCGGCCGATACTCAATTAGGCCTTGAGTATCCTCGTCAGATTCCATGTCTGCAAAATCAATTTCTATATTAGCATGGACCAAATTGTAGTAATAATGGACAAAACTATACCCATCAAATACAACGCCAAAAAAACTTGGAATTTTTGAGTTATTAATACGATTTTTACCTTTTCCTCGCTTGTGGACGAATCCAACCAAACCCAGAATAAAGTTACAGTTTTTTCTTTTAAATGGAAACGGAGAAGGGTGAAGAAGTTGTCAGAGAATCGATGATTAGGTTAAAAACGATGACAGGTTGTGTAAATAAACTAGAGTCGGCAACTTTCCGTCTCCCGAAAATGGTGAAGGGTCGTTTCACTTTTCCCCTTTTCCAAAATAATTAAAAAAATTACTTCGGAAACCATAGCTTTTCAACCCGCTCTGACTGTAATTAATGCCCTCTCGAACCGTCACTTCGTCGTCTTCCACACGCGAGTTCAAGGGCAAATGCGTCTTTCCGTCTCCCGAAAATGGCGTTGTCCACGATATGTTTTTTAAATGGCATTTTTTAAAACTAAAACTTAAATAAGGCTACTATTCTCAAAATTCCCTTTTAGGAACCAGGATGGACCAAAGATATTTGCCTTTATTTCAGAAATAATTGATGGAAAAGAAAAGTGACATGTAAAAAATTAAAGCTGAGTTGTATTAATGAAATGTTCTTATTGGTAGATAAATAGGTTGATGTGTCACATCCTGGTAAACTGAAAAAGCTAGTGTTTTTATTGTATTGATTTATTTTCTTTGTTAAGGAACGTAATTATTTACAAGTCTCTTCCACTTTATTTCGAAAAAGATGAGACGGATTTTGACAAAGAAAAAATATGCACAACAAAAACAGATTATGTTTTTTTTTTGATATAAGATTAAAAAAACAGTTATATTATTTCTCTCTCTCTCAAAAGAAGAAAAGTAAATGCTTTATTCGCTCTCCTTTTTTTTTTTTTTTTGTCATCCGTAATTAAATAGTGCTCAAAAGAGTCATTCTTGTGGAATGTTGTTTACATAAGTGATATGAAGCGGTTCCGTACGAACTTTTCGTGCCAGATTATCCGCTTTTACATTTGCACAACGAGAAATTAAAGATAAAGAGAAGGTAGAGAACTCTTCCTTGTCGCTCTGAAATTCCTCCAGATACACTGAGAAGGCCGGCCATTCGGTTGGGGAAGACACCATCTTCACCAGGTCAGAACAGTCTGTAAGGAATGCTACCTCTTGATTATCTGCACCAATCATACACTCCATCGCCCAAAGGAGGGCCTCGAATTCGGCATGTAGCGGAGATAGGCTTCTACGGAGGTTGGCAGCTCCCATTGTTGATGGCTCACCGTTTGATGGTGTACAAAACCACCCTATCCCGGAAAACTTGTCGCTGTCTTTCCAGGATCCATCCACAAAACAATGGTATCCTGTAAAATCCGAATCTAGGGACATCCCCCTCGTTTGAGGCCGATTTGGAAATTCCACTGAAGCCTGAGTTTCAGAATGAAGCTCCACTTGAGCTGAGTGCCACAGTTGTGCCTCTCTTTCCGCTAACCGTAAAACCTCTAACGGATCATTATCCACATTTTCAAACAATTTTTCATTCCGTGCTTTCCAAATATACCAAATAATCCAAGGAAAAGCTATAGAATCAAACTCCGATGGTATTCTCCAAAATAAATGATCCAAGTTTGCAAAAATAGAATCTGTGGGAAAAGTCCCCATAACTGTAGGAATCTGAGAAAGTGCCCAAACCTGTCTTGCTGGATGGCACTGAAAGAGTGTGTGATTGACTGTTTCCTCCAGTGCACCACATCTGGCACAACCAGTGTCACAATCAATTCCTCTTTTTCGTAAGTTCTCTGTAACCGGTACACAACCCGTTAAGATTTGCCATAAAAAATGACGTATCCTAGGTGGACACTGTACTTTCCAAGTATGAGCCTTTAACTTATTGAAATCTGGCCTAATGAAAGATGAGTTGGTCTCCAACTTATCCAACCGTGCGGTATGATACCCCGACTTAACTGAATATTTGCCGGATTTTGTAAAATGCCAACCTAAGGTGTCTTCCTTGGTTGGCGCACCCACCGGTAGGGCACTTATTAACTCGACATCTTCCTGGTCAAAGACCGCTTTGAGGAGATCAATGTCCCAAAAATTAGATCGACGATCTATACTAATGATCTATATTCGCTCTCCATACTAATGATTTTTTGTCTTCGTCTCGCTGTGGTTTTGATATTTCGTCGGGTTTTTTTCGTGTTTGGTGTAGTCCGGTTCGTGTTTGGTTAGTTCTTTGTCTCTACTCTATAGGTCAGATCGAGATCTAGTCTGTCCAAAGGCTTCTTTCGAGGCGTTAATTTGTCGGGGTATATTCTTTCAATTTCGCCGCTTCCGGAAGAAATATTTTGATCCTGATGCCTTTTGCTGGATCTTGTCTTACTGGTGTGGTCGCCTAGGAACTCTTATATTGTAAGGTAGTCTCAATCCACTATAGGAGGAACCGCTTATCGCTGTCTCGCTTTGCTGCTTCAGTTTGCTTTGTTTAAGGTATTCCAGTCATGGTTTTGATTTGGTAGGTATGGAGTTTGTGCTAGATTCCAGATTTAATTTGTTAAGTCTCTTGTTTTAGTTATCATTTATTTCCTTTTTGTTTCTCTGTAATTTTGGGTTTTGTTTCCTTCGTTTGTGTTTAGTTTCTGGGGGTTAAAGTCTGCCGGTTTAGTTTTTGAAGGGTTAAAGTCCCGCCGGTTTAGTTTTTGAAGGGTTAAAATCCCGCCGACATTTGTATTCTAACAACGTATTTTACCATTATTATATAATCATTCAGAGAAAAAATGCTTTCTTTGCTGTTCAACGACGTCTCTTCATATGTTGGAATCCAAATCTAATGTGAATTTTAGGCCCCCTCCCAAGGAAGGACAAGTCCATATTTCAGATTTGACTTCGTAGTGTTAAAATATTATTTAATATTTTAAAAATATGCCCTAAATATATATTTTAAATGATTTACCACATATACATATATATATATATAATTTACATTTGTATATTTATCTATTTCTCTCTCTATATATATACATATCTATGGAGGATAGTGCATATCCGATGTTTCAAATTTTCATAATTGATTTTTATTCGCTTTTAGCTGATATTAAATTTTAATTTTAATATTTTATTTTTTTCATATGTTATTAGTTATATGAGTTAATGAATAAGATTAAAATGGATAACGTATCAAAGCGGATATTACATATATTTTACAAACCCTAATTACAGTATTGGACACTTGATTACTGATACTTCTTCATTAAGTAGTTTCACAGCATTGAAAGAACACAAAACTTTTTTTCGCGTATCTGTCACATGTTGTTTGTTCATTCATTCTAAAAATAATATGTGTCCTTACATGTGTATTATATATACCTTAAATTTTTTTATAATATATACGATAACGAGTAAATATACTTCTCCAATACTGCAATTTCTCATCTAATAGGATTACGTACGAAATGCATACGTATGTCCGTATATTGTACCAGAACTTTTGTTTTGAGTGGGAAAATGTCACTAAATTTTTAACCAAAAATAAAAGAAAAATGTAAGCTAATTAATTATATTATCCCTCTATGTATAAGAAATTAAAAATAACCTAGTGAATGCACCCTGAGAGAGACACAAGAAGGGAGGTAGGGAATCATAACGACATGTGAGACGTCTTATAATCTTTGCCATATATGGAACAATGGTATTTTGCTACAAAAGGGAACACTACAATACCAAAACATTTAGATGTTATTATAGAATAGATAGTCTTGGGTTAACCAAAATATTAAAGGTCTTAAAAGCTTAACCCTATAGATCCATGGTAGTATGATAGGGCTTTAGTTTCCAAATGCTGGAACTCTGTTCCCCGTATAATGTTTTCTCCCTATTATCATATATCCTATGGAGATCTCAAAAGTCAAAAATACACGTCCATACATGTGTGTGACTGTGTGTTGTGAGATTGGAACAAAATAGTGATAGAAGGTGGTAAAATCTGTTTTAACGGTTCAATTAATACTTTTAGAAGTGAAAATAAAATAGAGGTATATTAAAATAGAAAAATTTTTAGTTATAATATCTATTGGTGAAATTTTAGTTGTTTAAACGTTTTCACTTTTTTGAAGCTTAAAATTAAAAGAGTTACAAAAAATATATACTCCCTCTGTCCTAATATATAAGATGTTTTAGAGCTTTTCATTTGTTCAATTATATAAGATTTTCTCTAATTTCAATGCATGATTTATATTAGTTTAATAGTTTTTAATTATTTTAATTATGCAGTATCTTCTTCTATTGGTTGATTTTTCATAAATGAGAAAACATTTATTGTTTCTTAATTTCTGTGCTTTTAGTCCAAACATCTAATAAAATGGGATAGAGGGAGTATTTGAATAGTTAAATCCCCATTAAATTTATGAATAAATCACTATTTTTTATCACACCGGTATTTTTTATCACTTAATCCATGTAATTAGTTGACAATAAAAAATCCACCAAAGATACTGTAAGAAAATATATATTACTTTTACCTACTAAATCTGTATTTGGTAAGTTGTTACTTCTTTTTTATTGTTTATCGTTTTTATGTACTACCAATTTTTTACCGTTTATTTTTTTACTATTTCAATGTTTGATAACCAAAAAAATACCCAAGAGTTAAATGCTCATTTTCTAATTTTTGGCCAAAAAATACCCCATTACAATGTACTTTTTTACGTTTTGCATAATATTAGACTATTAGTGATGGGTCTAATATAGCTGTTGACAAAAAAAAAGTAATGGGAATTTTTGAGAAATGTCCTTTTTGGTATGCGTTTTTTAAAAAATATCCTTTTTAGATGTCCATTCTCAAAAATAACACTAGTTAAATCTGAAAATTTTATAAAATTCTATAAGGTTTATAAGAGACTTATGAATGGCATACTACTCGGAGACTCGATCCAAGCATTTATAAAATCTTATAAGGTACTTTCTAAGGTTTTACAATTATTTTAAACGATTTTACAAGGTGTTTATAAAATTTACAAGGTATATATAAAGTATTTGTAATTATACAGTATTTATGAGATTTTATACACAAAATTTGTGTATATTTTAATAAGGTTACAAAAATGTTTACACAAATCTAAGGTCATAGGGAGATCTTTGAAAAAGCTTTAAAGAAGAATCATTTTTAAAAATGGCATTAGAAAAAGATATTTTATAAATTCCTCATTTATTATTTAGTAATACCGTTTTGCTAACTTTGTTTTTATAGGTTATGCATGCAAGTGGGGGGAAAATAATTGTGAGTTTTGTATTCGGACAAACCAAAAAGTTAAGAAATTATTCCAGTTTTTAGATAGATATTCCCAAGAAATATACCTTCAAATCCGGTCTTGTGGATGAATCCTCGCGGCAGATCAATTTGACAAGTGGCTCAAGCAAGCCCAAAAACTCCGTATAATCCATAAGCGCCTTCATGAATCCAAAGACCATCGGTTAACCACCAAGACTAAATAGCTAACCCACTGTTTCTCCGTCGACTTCCGCTGTAGTCGCAGCTACGAATTGGGAGGGTGATCCACAAATAGACACCATCGCATTCCCCACCGTCCTAAAACCAAGGCATCACGACCTCGCATCCAATCGACCACCAAACCCGAGCCACCACTACATCGAGAAAAGAAATCAACCACACCACCGCTGTCGGAGAAGGAATTTGCTCACCGCTGCTCATCGTTTGTAATCCAAGACCTGCAATTAAAGCAATCCCAACTAACCCACAAAACAAAATCAAACTTACAATCTGGTGATGCATCGCACCGCTGGAGGAGGAAGGATCGACAAATCCAGCAACAAGTAACCAGAACCTGACCTCCACGAGCTCAACAGAAGAGAAGCTCAGCCCCTTTGCTCACCAGAGCCACAACAAACCACACTGAAGAGAAAAAACGACACACGAAGATTCACCAATCCAGATCTGTCGAAAACCACAAAAGTGGTGCCGTCCTCAAGTACCTCCACCGAAGCGACCACAACAGCCACACAAAAGATTAGAGGAAGAGAAAGATGTATCGGTTATTTGTGCTTTTAGTTTTCATGTAACTTAAAGTTTTACTTTCTTCGTTTGGACTTTGTATAAGTGTTGAAACTTGATTTCTTTCCATTGATGTATACACAGGTATTTATACACAGATAAGTCGAGAATCTCAACATGAGATATACAAGAAGATATACAGTTATCGTATCATATCTAGATTTGGTTTTATCACTTAGAGAAATATACGAGGATATTCTGAGTATATACTAACACTTTGTTTCTGAAAAGATCAATTTATTCCGCAACATATGTAATCTCACAATGTATTTTTCCGATATTTTATGGATCAAATCAGACGAAAAAAAAAAAAAAAAAATTATACAACACTAGATCGATGAGCAAGTACCTAGAAATATCTCTTTCGCCAATACAAATCAAATTATAGGAATAGAAATAGAAATAATCGAAGTTGTATAGAAATTAATAAATGGGGACGTTGGTGTCAAATCATAAACACTGTTTCATTTTGCTTTCCACTGACAGTGACGGATTCGAAACGCGTGGTTTGTCACTCGCATCCCGTGGCTCTACCTCTCATGTAAAAGACACCTCTCTCCTTGTTAATTTATTTTTAAATTATTTTTATTATTTCTTATCGACAATTCAATGTATTTTTGATCTTCGATCTCTAATCCTATACATGCAAAAACTGGTGCATCTATATTTCTTATCGACAATTCAAAGTGGGTAAAGTGGGGAACTTGAATATCTATATTTCTTATCGACAATTCAAAGTATTTTTTCATAAATAGTTTGAAAGCATCGACATTCATCAAGAAAAACCTGTTTTTATCCTTCAGTGTTATATATTCAATATCAAACGCAAGAGTTTTTGAAAAAATAAATAATAGCAATTGTATGAACATTTCAAACTATTTATCTTCAAGGGTAATATTACAAATTAGCCAAATTTTGAGTCAAAATTAACTAGCCATTGTCAGTTTTTTTATGGGTAAATAACCATATGAGGGCACAATAAAAGATAAAAATGTCCTTGCAAGTTGAACCAAAAACAAACTTATGCTGAGAAAAAGTAATAGATTTAAGAAATTTCAACAAATCGCGTGAAACATTTTAAAATAACACGACATTTATCAAAAAAGTGATATTTTATAACGTATAATTTGCAAAGATAGAATGTTATATAAACAAATATCATTTCATTTGAAAAGTTGAACCAAAGAGCACGCTTATGCGGAGAAAAAGTAATAGATTTGAAAAATTTCAACAAATCGTGTGAAACATGTTAAAATAGCACGATATTTATCAAAAAATGATATTTTATAACGTATATTTTGCAAAAATAACATGTTATATAAACAAATATCATATTTTTGAAAAGAAACCGTGCGAAACAGAATAATAACATGATATATATTATAATAGTGTGTCAAACAAAAAAATTATCGATTAATATTACAAAATAACATGAAATTTTACAAAATCTATTCCTTTTCAACTGTCGATTACCACTACAACCACGACCAAAATATAGAAAATAAGAGATCTTTGACAGATCCTATGTATACAATGGTAGTGGTCACTGTGAGAAAGGTGGTTATGGCGGAGGTGATGATGGTTTTGGAGGAAGCGGTGGTGGTGTTCATCGCGAGTGGTGATGGTGGTGTCGTGGTCGCAAATATATAGTAACAGTGATTTTATTGTGGTCGCCATTCTTCCGTCTCGAGAATGAGAAGAATGCGGAGAGTGATGATGATAGTGGTAGATTAAATTAGAGCTTCCATTGTTGATGGTGAATGAAAGAAAGAAATAAAGAAACAAGAAGAAATCGTTGATGGTGAAAGAGAGAAAACGAAAGAAAAAAGAACAAAGGGTTTTAGGTAATTTTATTTGTTTTTCAGACACACATTATTTGCCCATGGTTAGTTTCTTAATTCTTTCTGAATCCATGGCTATTTACTATAAATTCCCTATCTTCAAATAAATGTTTTTTTAGACAAATGTATATGATCGTAATGTCGTCGTTGTGTTACCGTTAAATTAGAACCCTTGTTAGTTTTGATGCATGTTTTTGACAAAAAATAAAAATAAATAATAATGTGGTTTGAAATTTATTCTTCATGAAGTATTTGTTTACGATCGATGCTAAAAATAGCTTGGTGCTAAAAGTATAGTCGGAGACTCGGGAGTTATTGCCAAAATCAACACGATGTCTACATGCTGCTCAATTGGCAGCCTTTACCATTGAGACAAAGCCGTATACTTATAGCAAATAAAATCATCTCTTAGAACGAATTTAATTTTTGGGGCACGGACACTAACGCATCAATATATACTCGATAGTCAATATTGAACACATGTTGATTTACAAAACTTGAAAGCCTATGTGCTCTTATATAGTCAACAAAGAGGTATTGTCATAATCCACCGTTTATCACAAGAAACGTTTGTGTTTAAAAGTAGTGTAATCCTAGTTATATAACCCATGATTTCCGGAAAAAAGATAAGATAGATATTTATATGTTAATCAGGTCGTTTTCAAAGTAAAAATTAAAGTGAAGTAAGAAAACAAGAATAATGCAATCTCTTAACCACACAAAAAAAAAAAAAAAAGAATAATGCGAAAAATAAAGTAAATAAAGTAATCAAAATTTGTAATAAAAATTTTTAAAAATGAAAATTGTCGCTGCAAATTGCAGACAAGGAAGACAGACTCTTCCCTCCTCATGTCATGTCAATGTTCAACTTCAAGTTCCCCACTTTACCCATTGGTCACACACACACTCTCTCTCTCTCTACAACTATGAAATTACCCTTTTCTACGCTGTGTAACACTGAGTCCTCTTCTCTTCTCTCTCTCCTCTCTTGAAGCCACTATACACTCTTGAGTCTTGACAAGTGTGTTTTTGTGTATTGTCTCTCCATCATCTCCCAAAGTAGAAAAGCTAGAAAATAATAAAAAGGATAAAAAAAGATCTCTTCCACTTATATTATCCCTTTCTCTCATCTTCTATAAGCAGAAATTAAACTTCACTTCTCTCTCTCTCTTTGCCTCACCATTTCTGCTCACAAGTGTTTGTTAGATTTGTTCTGAAAAAGATGAATCTATACCTTTTATAGTATCAATCTCATCATCACAACCAGCTAAGTCTCTCTCTCTTTCTCACTTTTTTTTCTCTCTATTTGCTTCAATTATTGATCTTAGCTCACGATCTACAAAAAAAAAGAACCCTAATCTTTCTTTGATTAGAAGAAAAAAAGAACCCTAAATCAAGATTCCATCTTCTTCTACTTTTCCAAAATCAATAACAAGGAAAAAAACCATGGATTTGATCTCTCACCAACCAAACAAGAACCCTAATTCCTCAACACAATTAACACCACCTTCTTCAAGCCGGTACGAGAACCAGAAACGCCGTGACTGGAACACTTTCTGTCAATACCTCCGGAACCACCGTCCTCCGCTCTCTCTCCCGTCGTGTAGCGGCGCACACGTGCTCGAGTTCCTCCGCTACCTCGACCAGTTCGGAAAAACAAAGGTTCACCACCAGAACTGTGCCTTCTTCGGCCTCCCTAACCCTCCTGCTCCATGTCCTTGCCCTCTCCGGCAAGCTTGGGGCTCACTCGACGCTCTCATCGGCCGCCTCCGCGCCGCCTATGAGGAGAACGGTGGCCCTCCTGAAGCTAACCCATTTGGCTCACGCGCCGTCAGGTTATTCCTCCGTGAAGTCAGAGACTTCCAAGCCAAAGCTCGTGGTGTTAGCTATGAGAAGAAGAGGAAGAGAGTCAATAGACAGAAACCGCAAACGCAGCCGCCTCTACCACTTCAGCAACAACAGCAGCAGCAGCAGCCACAACAAGGTCAGTCTTTGATGGCTAATTACTCGGGTGCAACAGTATGATCATATTTATATAATTTCCCCTTTTTACTATATGTTTTGTCTCTTATTTGCTTTATCTAAGTTTTTTATGTAATATCTTCTTTTACATTATCCACTGATGCTTTTGTTTCTGTACTAATTGTTTTTGAATAAGATAAACTACGATTATTTACGCTGAAGTGTTTGATCCATTATGTTCTTGGAGGTTTATTTTGTTTGTAATTTTAACCTTTGAAAGATGATTCGATGTTGATTCTTGATAGTTGATACACTTAGGGCTCGTGTGTATTATGTGGCCATATATGTTTTATGATTTATCAGTGAAAGCATCTTTAAATATAACTTTGTTAGAGTTTAGATCATATATTAATCATTTCTTTCCATGCGATGATGGTTGAGGTTTTAGGAAACATTTTGTATATGCCCAATGATTTAGATATGAATCAAGATCATATTTTAAAGACCAAATACATAGATGCTAATATACTTGTGTATTAGTATTAGTATGATGTTGTGTCTCGTATGATTACTTTATGGTAAGTCATTGTGATATATACTATTACTAATAAACTCACCATCTCATAGTTAAAAAGAAAACAAACATAAAAACATAACCCTGATATGTTTGACCATACAAATTGTTTTTGTATGCTCTCTTAATTCATTTCAGATAATATAAATTGAAAATAGAATAGATTGGTCGTTGTTAGGTCTTGTAGTCCCAAAATTTGATGAGCGAAGTCATCTGACATCCTCTCATTAAATGCTTACTATTGTTCTGAATATGGATTCACTGTTTTGACTTTCGAGGTCGCTTTAGCATTGGACTATAAGAGCTAGCCACCTTGTAAATTATTGATTCTATTTTTATTTCAATGCACTATTGATTGATGTTATAAGAATTTTCTTACTACGATTTTAGTATAAGAAATTAGGAGAAAACCTTGACTTACTATTAAGATAAGTTGGGCATCAGAAAGTTTCGTCTAACCTATAGTTATGAGTCTAGGACTATGCAAACTAATTAGCTTTCACTTTAATCATGGAGATTACAATTATGTTATGGATTCTACATTTTATCTTATTTGTCAATAGTCATGAGTCATGGTCAAATGATATTTTACAGTACAAATATAAGTTATAAAGATAAACACAATCTTTAGCAATAATTTTCAAAATATTAAATTTTAAAAATATCACCAAAACATGTATAGTGTTTGATCATTAACTTTTTTTCTTTTCCACATATGCATCACTCTGGTATGTTCAAAAGTGGTAAATTTATATCTGTAAAAAGAGAGGTGTAAAGTTGAAGATAGCACTATACAATTGGAATCCAGTAAACTTTGTCTTTGAAGTTAAATATTTAAAATGTACTGAAATTCTTGTTCTACGACAGCCAAAATATCATAATTATAAATATATATACCTTTTAATTATACTAACATGGTGAAAACGGACATTCTTATTTACGTCTCTCTGCTAAATGGACATTTCGTTACAAAAAAAGTATTTTCTTTGACCATTTTGGCAAAATTTTTTAAAGAAAATGGACATTCTTATAATATACATGTCGTGTAATATAAATGTTGAGTACATAAGTTACGAGGCGTTCCAGATTAAGAACCTAATAGGTTTGCCAAATGTAGAATGTATATGATCAATAATCAAATCTATAATTAAAGAATGTGTTCAGAGAATGTAGCTAGAATTTATAGTTACTAAAATATATTAGTTGGTTTAGCCATATTGGTTGTTGTTGGTTTAGTCTTAGACTTGGTTTAGTCATTGTATTCAAGGACTAGATAGTATAGTACTGAATGAAGAAATTTTAAGAATACTGATAGTGTAATTAGTTAAAAAGCTAAACCTAAAATGTATCTATATCTAGAAACAAAACACAAAAACAAGAAAACTTGCACATCAAATGGGATTCGATTTCTTCACGTGATACATTCAATAAATAATCAGAAATTTAGTCTTACCATACAAAAAAGAATAAAATTATCATTCGAATTCACATAAATCAGAGAAGATCAAAAACCGCTTCGATAGACACAAATAGGAATTCCCAAACAGCAGACAGGTTGGTACGATGTTCTCACACTACACAAAAATGATCGGTTTAGATTTAACATACTATTAGAGAAGAGCACCCGATGCTTGCCACGTGTCCATAAGCTTTACTTACACTAGTGGTCCCGGATTCGCACGTGGAATCGAGTAAATTCTGTCCGGCGCGGTGTACAATAAGATCGAATGGACCCTCTTTTAATATATTAATTGTTTTAATTTTAATTTTATCTTATTATAAAAAAATTATAAAATAATTGTCACCACTCACCACCAGCTCTATTTTTCCCAGATTTTTTTTTTGTCAAAGTTGGTTTTTTTTCCAGATTTAGGAAGAGACCTCGTTAGAGTGACATAGTCTTTTAGTTTTAGACCTATATAAGAATCACGACTCCATTAAGTTCATTTTCTTGTTTATAAAAATGCATATTTTATTATTGTATGCATGTATCATGCTACTCCAGAAAATATCAAAAATTATTGGAGGCTAAAAATGTATAGACACTAAAGATCAACATGAGTCAATCGTCATTATACACGTTACTATACAAACACTATTTGGTACATTTATTAACGATGGGTTTTTCTTTTGAAATGTTTGAATGATATGAGAGATATTATTGAACAACCAAATCAAGTAAAACAGATGAAACACATGTAAATATTAAAAAAGTAGATTTTAAAATATTTTTGCTTAATAAGCAACTTTATATTCTACAAAAAAACGATAGCATAAATTTTGGATTTTGTTTTAATAGATTTATTTTTTGTATTGCAAATTTTATAAACATTTTTAAATAATTAGCATAGGAATCCTAGTCTAGTTAAATTTAACATGGAATTGTTGGCCCCCCCAAAAAGTAACTCTATAACCTCTATGACAATAAAAAAGTCTGCATAGTAAAACCAATTAGAATGTCAAAATATGTAAATCATCAAAACACATGATTTTTAGTGCATATTTCCTCTCGGTTAACAAAATATAAAGAGGACTAATTTTTCTGAAATGTTCCCTTTGATAGGGAATGGGCCGGGAATAATTGATCTTTAGCATCCATTCAAATTCCTCCATCAAATTCATCTAAAATGAAAATCTTAATGACAAGTTACGAGTTCAAGTCGCCTAGACCCTGGTTGTAGTTTATTTTTTTAATCAAAATGACGTTATTTTATGGTTTTACAGAAACTTATTCCTGTTAATTTATTCTATTAGTCAACTTAAGACGTGATTAGTTCGTTAAAATCAACCAAATTTTTCGATTAAAATGAGAAGTTAACAAAAAATTTCCATTTAATTTAGAGGTCAATAAAAGTTTTTTTTTTTTTTGAATGAATGTTAAATTTATTCAACCAAAAAAGTCTTTTGTACAATGAATGCAACCTTAAATCGAATATTGTTTTGAAAGAATTATAAGTATAAAACTAAGAACACTAGGTCCTAGATTCAAACCATAAACGGAGTCCATCTTCGAGTTTGCGAGGATCCAAGAGACGGATTGAAGAGATTCTGTTGCGAATTATGCGATCAATAAACTTGATTATTTGGTCTGCAGCACTTGGTGATTCTCCATGTCTACGTTTGTTTCTTTCCAACCAAAGTGTATGAACAGTTGCTTGGAAAAGAATGCGTATAATGAAGCCAAGGGTACCTTTGATCGATGAATCTGATAGGAGAGATATGATCCCGGAGAAACTGTTGGTGAACCTTCTTTGAAGAAGTCGACTTGCCAGCCCCTCCCAGATCCGTGAAGAGAAAGCACATGAAAAGAAAATGTGCTCCTGAGTCTCTATCGGTGCTTGACAAAAAACACATGATGGGTTCACTCCCATATTCCAAGAGACCATACACTCACCAGTGGACAGTCTGTTTTTTACCGCAAGCCATGTCAGGAAAGAGTGTTTCGGGATAGAATCCGAGAACCAAACACTCTTAACCCAACTTATTTTTTGACCTGCAGTTCGAATTTGTTGCCATGTTTCTGAGGTGGTAAACCGAGCTTTGAACTTGTTATCTGGTCTCCTCCACAAGGATACGTCCGGTTCAGAACAATGTCCCCTGTTTCGAATTCGTTCAAGTTCCAGCTCTACCCGATTTAGAAAGTCCACACGATGATGCCTTGTTCTGTGATTTTGAAGAGCTGCAGCCACTGTTACTTCCGAGGAGATCCCAAAATCGATGAAACCTCTATCACCAAGAGTATCATGTAACCGACCTAGAGGGCACCAATGATCATACCAAAACGATGTTTGGAGCCCACTTTTTATCTCCATTGAGTGAAACTCCTTCGCCTGCGCTCTGTACTTAAGCAACTTCCTCCACATCCATGAACCCAAGGAAGTGGTGTCTTTGACGGACCAGAAGGAGCTAGACCGAATAAGCTCTCTTTGTATCCAGTTTACCCAAAGTGATTTTGAACCTGAAACGATCCGCCATATGAGCTTAAAACAACTGACCTTATTCATCTCAACAACATATTTTAGCCCCAAACCACCTTCATCCTTTGGCTTACAAACATCCTTCCACATAACCTTATTTTTCCGAGAATTGAGAGACTGACCAGACCACAAAAATGCAGCACAAATTTTTTCGAGCTCTTTGACACAAGCAGAAGGCAAACGGAATGCAGCGATCCAAAAGTTTGTTAGACTTGCGATCACTGAGCGTAATAACTGCAATCTCCCCGCAAACGACAAAAATTTATTCTTCCATGAGTTGATACGTGCTCTGATTTTTTCAAGTAACGGAAGACAGTCAGAAAGTGTCATCCTCTTAGTCATCAGAGGCAGTCCCAAGTAGCGAACTAGTAAAGCTCCTGAATTAAAAGGAAAAGGTCAATAAAAGTTTATTAAATATTTTACCGAATTCAAAGTTGGAGATTTTTTCTAATACTTTTTATAAATTGAAGATTTTTCCGATATTATTTTCGATGAAATTTAGACGCTAATATCGTAGCAAACATTTCGACCATAGTTTCCGACGGTATTGAGATTTTTTTTTTTCTCGCGCTCATCTGTCGTTAGTTCTTTATGCCCATGCTATTTTCATTTTTGATATGTTTTCCTGACCACCGTGTTTCTTTTGGAAAGTCAAATCCGGTGTATTATTGAGAAGTCTTGAGATAATAGTAGGCCCATTATAGTTCTGATCGGATGAGTATTAGTGAGATTCTTAAACTTAAATTGTGGATTTGTTGTCGACTTGTGGCTGTGATTTACTTATTTTAGTAGAACTGGGTGATTTAAGAAGTTCAAATTTTCATATAATACTTCGTTATATTAAAATAGAGGTTAAATCTTATTTTATTTTAACAGTTTTAAAACATTTAATGAATATCATTATATCTGAGAGTTGTGTTTTTATGAATACAAATGATTATATTCAGTAATACGAGAGCTAGTTTAATAGAATTACAAAACCAACAATAACTAAATGTTTCGACTAACATCAAAAAATTTCGATGAAATTATAAAATCATCAAATCAATAAACAAAAATTTACATGAAACAGCATCTCAAAACCCATTTGAAAATCTGATTTTCTTATGGAAAATAAGTCCCAGTACACAAGAAATAGTTTATAGAAAAAAGAAACTGATCATAACCTCCGAAGTCTTATCTAAAAATCTCTAGTGTCCTTTTTTGTTATCAGTGGCAAACCTTGAAGCATAGAACTTAAAATAGAGCAGATTCGCGACTTGAATGCCGGCTATTATGAAAAAGTAGTTCTCAAGCCTGTTCTTGTTCAAATCTTTGTCTCCTAACCAAGATTTCCCTTCCTTGCGTGTCACGGCATCAATCACATTTATTAGAAGCGTGCATATGTAACTCGCAATCGACGAGCTCAAGAAGAAGATTGCTCCAGCAACTGCTCTCATATGCTCAGGCATCCTAACCGTCAGAAACTCCATAAGAGCCACCGCGGAAAACGCTTCGGTTAAACCCGCAAGAGCAAACTGAGGAAGGAGCATTACAATAGAAATGGGCGATACGAATGAGCCATTCTTTAGAGCGGAGGCTCTTCGCTTCTTCTCTTGGAAAGCCGCGACAATCATACAAGCGATTCCCATTACGATACCTAATACAAATGTTGTTAGAAAACTAAATATCAACAATATACCTATCTTGTAAATCTTTGAACAAAAAAGAAAATAAAAAGCAATACCTATCTCAATTCTTTGTTTCATCGTCAACCGTTTTTTCCGTCCTGTGATTTGTTTCACTATTGGTATGATAACGCACTCGTAAAGTGAGATCCAAATCGCGAGAGTGATCATAGAGACGAGATTCATCCATCCTGCTGGGACTTGGAAATTATGTCGTCCGAACGTTTTATCCATCTGCATTGCTTGAAGGATCCCGTATATGTTTTGTTGGTCAGTCAGTATGAAACACGCGATTCCCGTGACCCAAACTGGTAAAATTGCGGTCACACACTTGAGGTTTTTCACCTGCTGCACACTACATAATCTCCATTTGTACTTCGCATTACCTTCTTCGTTTAACTCGTTCGGATTAGTTACCACCGATGCTTTGTCAAAAAACCTTAACCTGTCACACCGAAACATCAAAAGAAAACAAACTTAATTAGAGACTTTACTGATTACACTCATATTTCATACTGAAAAATTGTGGATTGATTTAGGAAAAAAAAATCAATTTTACAAGATGCAAATTAACAAATTATTTTATATATTAAATATAATTTTAGATTCATTTAGAAGATAAAACATGCTATTGATGATATATGCAAAAGATAAAGCAACTAAAGAATCTAATGTAAGTTAACTACACAAACCTTTGTTTGTCTCGGACCAAAGTGGTGGGTGATCCATCATTAGAAGGGCCTATGTAGAACATTATATCTGATCCAGATTTCAACTTACGTTTCTTACAAGCCGCGGCAACAACCTTAACTATGTCTGCGAACACACTGCCCTCAGGTTTTGCACATATGTAAGTATGCTGACCAATGAGGAAGGTGGTGATGGAGAGTGCAAGACAAGCCGTGGGGATCACGAAACCAATGACCCAACTGATGTTAGTTTGTATATAGACGACACCTGTCAATGCAATGACTAGAGCCACCGTGAAGGAGAAGTACCACCAGTTAAAGAATGTTTCAAGCTGGGCTTTGCCTTTTTTAGTGCTTGTATCGAATTGATCAGCTCCAAATGCGATATTGCATGGTCTTATTCCTCCTGCACCAATGGCTAGTAAACCTAGACCGGAGAATAGAACCCCAAGCTGCCATTTCGCGGGCTGGTTTGAACAATTCGATGGATCGATGCAAGCCTCAGGTCTTAATCGCGGGAGAGCCGCGGTTAGAGCAATTATTCCCATTCCCTATATCCAAGAAGAAAAAAAGAAGTTCAATTAAATACTCTCTGCTTTCGGATTGTTTCTTTCTTTAGTTTGTATAAAGCGGGTACTCTTGCCATTTAAACCGTCTATAATGGCCAAGAGAAAACCACAACGATATTTGTTAAGGACTCATTGGCCTTGACCAACACGGAACTATTAAATACTGAAACACACTTTTGGTTTCTGCTTCCGAATTTCCGATGTTGAAAACTACGATAAAGGAAGGGAAAATTACGATAAAGGAGGCAATGGAACCGAGGAGAAGAGTCCAAAATCTTCCGAGGTAAGCATCGGAGACAAAAGCACCTGCGAGAGTAAGAACGTTGCAAGAACCAAACCAGATGTTGATGACGTTCACCAAGAAAACACCACCAAGATTGTATTTTGTCGTGAGATACACCGATAAATTCCCAATCAAGCTCATCGACGCCAGCTTCTCAAACGACTCATTGGCTTCACAAAACCGAATTAATTTTTTTTTTTTACTTAAAACACAATTTCATAAGATTAAACCCAAAAAAAAAACATAAAATAAGAAAGTAAAAACCAACCAATAATGTACTTGATAGCTCTCCATCCTCCTTTCTCCTTCTTAATAAGAGCATGTGACGATGGAGATGAAGATTCAACGTCCATTTTTTGTTCTTTGGTTTGAGAGGAAATGAAAAATGCTTTTGATGATGTTTTTAGATTATATGCAGAGAAGAAGTAAATGGAAAAAGTCAGTCACACAGTGTGTATGTAACTATATTCAAGCTGATTACTAGGAATAGGGGATTGATTTCCTAGTTTGTTTTAGATTACTATTGAAATTATTTTGTTTTATCAAGTCAAAATGGGGCTTAGGATTCGTAACCCCTTTCCTAATTTAATTTTTACTAAATAATTACAAATCTTTTATTTTGATAAATTTTAGATCGGAAATATATTTACGACTTTACGTGGATATAAAAAATTGGCGCAAATAATTGTATCATTTCATCTTTCATTTAACAATAACATGCTATTTTTTTTTTGACATGTATATTAACAAATAAAAAATTTAGACGGTTTTACAAAAAAATTTTATTTAACTGTGTGGATCGGAATGCTTTTATTTTTTTCTCGCAACATGGTTTTTTATAGGTGGACTTCTAATATATACATTAAATTTCTATTTTGTCAAATCTGATTTATCTTGAAATTTTGCTTTCTTTCAGACACATACGAAATATCTATATTTCAAATGTACTTTCAATAAAATAAGGATGTTAAATACTTAAGGATAGAATAAAATTTTTACAAAACATCTTACACTATTTGATAGTGTAATAAGGCACATTATTGTCATTAATTACGCAATTTCAAACTTTCTCATAAAAATTAAAATGTCAAAATAATTTAAAATATGAAACTTTTAATGGCAAAAAAGCACAAATCCCGAAAGGCTAATCGCTAAATGATAAAACAGAGTAAACCTTCTTTAAATTTCTTATTTTTAGTAATAACCAATCTAAATATGACATGAATTAGGTTGAACTTAATCCCCCAGATTTTAATTTCCTCAATTTTTTCCCATCAACAAACACAACTTCAATCAAAGATACACAAATAATGGTGGATCTTACCTTTAACGGCTTCCAGGTGACCTTATTATCTCCAGAAAGAACTTCGCCTGAATTAAAAAGGCTAATTGACAAACCCTTCTAGATCACGAGAAAAAATTAAAAATAAATAGGGTGATAGAAATTCACATTTTCAAAACTAAATCATGAGATTCTTTTACGACCGTGATTCGTAGAATACCAGAAACAGAGACACAATGTCAAAGAGCATAACGAAATGACAGAAAAAAAAATAACATGAGAGAATGTTAACAAAAATCTATTTATACATGTCTTTAGTTGGAAGTTATATGTGCACTTTAATACTTTGGTTCTATTTTCTTTCCTTTTTATTCTCTTGTTCATCATTTTTTTTTTTTTTTTCATTCATTTTTATTCTTCCTGTGTTTTTAGCATCATATCATTCACTTAAACCAGCTTTAGCGTCCATTATATTGTGATGATAAATGGATATGTGAAAATCTATAAGGTGAAAATTACTTGTAGTTCACGTCAACCACATAATGAAGATATGTGACGAGTAAACTACAATGAATCTTGGAAATATTGTGGTTCGTGTTGTTGATTGTTGGCATCATATATATTTGTGGGAAAAAGAACAAAATTACTTGAACTTCAAGATCTCAAAAGGAAGACTTCTAATAGATTTATTCAGCATTTTCTCACTTTAAACTTCAAGACCACCGGCTGTCTTCAGAAAACTTCACTTTATTGTTCAGTTTCTTCCGCCCAAGACTCAACACAATTAAGATAACTCGTAAAAAAAATTTCATTAATTATCACAATGCATAAACTAATAAATTAAAATCTTCAAATCCATTCTTTTCACCTTACTACTTATAATCTCTCATAATAACAATCCATAAAAAAAGGCTTCAAAATGTTGCATCTTTTTAATTAGAATGTCGCGTCTTTCATCTACATACTTTATCACTTCTAACCATAAATCCCAAAAACTGTGTTAAGAAATAATGTTTCTTTACCATAATTATTCATTATGTATTTTTTTTATATAACAAGTTTTAGTGATCCTACAAATATTTTAGAATGTTGCATAGGTTCATCTCTTAATTTATTTTTACTTCTAACCGTAATAATGCTTTAAAGAGTTGTATTTTTATCAACATTTTCCGTTGTATCGTTATATCTCTTCACATATAACCGTTTATAATAATCATAAAAAGTAGGGTGGGCATTCGGGTTTTCGGGTCGGTTCGGGTCGGGTAATTCGGTTTTCGGGTAATTTGGGTTAGGATGTTTAGGAACCGATTAAGAACCGACTGGTTTTCGGATCGGTTTCGGTTCGGGTTCAATCGGTTTCGGGTCGGTTTTCAATTTTGATATAGAACCCGATGTAGAACTGAAACACAATTCGGGTCGGTTCGGGTCGGTTTTTAAACCAGACTAACCCGAGTAAACCATACAAAACCCGAAATACCCGAACATTTAAGAACAAATAACAGAAATAGAATTCAAAAATCAATTCAAAACTAAAGAAGAAATGCATAGCATAAGAGTATTAGAACAACCAGAATTCAAATCCAAACAAAGAGAGAATAAGGAGTTTAGAGTAAAAAAGAAAAACAACCTAGAAACAATCCCAACATCCAAAAACCAGAATGCAAAGTACCAAAGAGGGAGAGAGCATAAGAGCTAAGAGTTTAGAGAGAAAAAAAGAAAATCAATCCAGAATCACTTCACTTCCATACAAGCTTAATGAGTCTTCATCCAGAAGCTACAAAATCCCAATGTCGAAGGATCTGTAGAGATAAAAAGCATGTTAAAGAATAAGATAACAACTTAATAATCAAAAGAATATCACAAGTAAAAGTTAAATTCAAGCTCAGTCTCAAAAATCAAAAAGTTAAACAATTTCAAATGAGACTAATGAAACTAAACAAAACGAAAATCTCAAATTCTCAATAAAAATGATGCATCTACGTTGATTGATAAGTGAGAAACATAATCGAGAAAATGGAACAGATTCCTACGGCTACATACTACAGATTCCTACGGCTACATACTTCACAATTACACAACTTCACATTCACACAAATTCACAATTCACAAACCTATTGTTAAACATAAGAAACTGAAACCAATAAATGACATAATTACAAAGCTCTATCAATCTAAGATGCATAAGAAACTGAAATACAAAATAAATTAAACACAGAAATGATAGAATTACAAAGTTTGAATAAGAGAATACGAGAAAGGAGAAACACAAAACGACGATTGATTTGTCGAAGAAGCTGATAGAGTAGGTTTAGCAGCTCTTTCTCGTGAATCGTTTAGGGGATTTAGGGTTTCCAGTTTGCCAATTTGGGGTTTATATAGGCTTTAAGATGAGAAACGAATCAATGGAGTGGAGAAGTGGAAACGGCAAAAGCAATCTAGAAAATCGGAGAGAATATCGGAAATAGGAGATATGTGCTCTCAAGTCTCGATATTTTTGGGTTTATGAATATATGATTACTCCTCTTAACTACACATATCCTTATATATATATATGTGTATACAATAAATGGCCGGTTAACCGATCGGGTTTCGGTTTACACCCGAACCGAAACCAAACCCGCTGCAAATCAATCATATTATCCGTTCGGTTTATAGAGTCTAACCGAAACCGTACCCGAACCTCTTTTTTTGGGTCGGGTCGGGTCGGGTTTTCGGGTTTCGGAGAAAATGCCCAGGCCTAATAAAAAGACTTTGAAAAGTTGCGTCTATCTTTTGTATCTTTTCATTTTCATATATTTTCACTTATAACCGTTTATTACAAATTTGTTGAGTTTATAGAGTTGTATTCGTTTCACATCTTACTAGATTAAAACCTACGCTACGCCGCAAGATATTTTTTAAAAACTGTGTTTGAATTCTAGTTCAGACAAAAAAAATTACACTCTCTGTTTCAAAATAGGGCTGCCTGCCTCTGTCCCCCTGTACTATATCATTTCAACTCGGTTCCCCTTGTACTTTTACTCTCTACCTATTTCCCCCTATACACATGATATTCTTCATAATTCCACCCATTTTTATAAAATTCTACTTTATTTCCCAAAATCAATTAAGCTCCTTAAATACGTTTTAAAATCACTAAATCGCGTTTTAAAATTGATTAAACCGGTAATCGACCCAGATCTCATAACCCGAATTGAACCTTCTAATTGATAAAGAGGGTTCGATTTTTGCATTAAACCCTAACAAAATCAATTTGGGGAAAAGTATCTTCTCCACCCTGACACTCGCTTCTTCTTCTCCGACTGAGACCGTCAAAGACTCCTCCGACATAGCCTCCTCCGAATGAGACTTCTTCATATTCTCTTTTGCAAATTTTAGCTCTTGCTCAACGATCTCATTGATCTTCTTGTTCATCTCTTGTTCCATCTCCTTCCCCAAATTTTAGCTCTTGCTCAACGGTCTCAGTCGGAGGATTTCGACAGTCTGAGTCGGAGAAGAAGACAATCGATGTCTTCGTAGGTGTCGGGGTGGAGAAGAAGATTTGCCCAATTTTGTTAGGGTTTTAAGAGAAAAATCGAACCCTCTTTCTGAAACAGAAGGTTCAATTTGGGTTAGTAAATCTAGGTCGATTACCGGTTTGATCAGAGAAAATCAATTTTAAAACGCGATTTAGTGATCTTAAAACGCATTTAAGGAGCTTAATTGATTTTGGGGAATTAGGTAGAATTTTATAAAAATGGGTGGAATTGTGAAGAATATCTTGTGTATAGGGGAAATAGGTATAGGGTAAAAGTACAGGGGGAACCGAGTTGAAACGATATAGTACAGGGGGACAGAGGCAGGCAACGATATAGTAAAAGTAAAGAGACTGCATAATAAAAATAATCATAAAATATTAAAGTAATATATAACTCGCATAGAAACTTGAAAACGATTTATATTTTGAAACAAATGTTATGAATCTCGTGTATTCTCTTATTAATGAATGAGGTTACAACTTATATATATACACAATAAGGGAGACAAATCCCAATTGGACTAGGAAACCCTAAAGCCCAAAGCCCACTAAGACTAACATAAACCGTCATTGGGCGAATCTTCTAGAAGATAGACATGGGCCTTCTAGAACATGGACATGGGCCACGGTTATGGAGTCCATCCGTAATGTGGTTTACAACACTCCCCCTTGGATGACATAACCGTGTAGATGCCAAAGGATCTTTGTAATGCGCTTGGAGATGCTGCCTCATTAAAACCTTACTAGGAAAACCCATTGGGACAAAACCACGGTGAAGGAAAAAGAGTACAGCACGCATTACTCCCCCTGTTTTGGTCATCCCTGCAAGTCCTTAAGTCTCCGCATTCCAATTTGATGTGTGAGCTTCCTTAATGTTGTTGTCGGTAGTGCTTTAGTGAAGAGATCGGCTGAGTTGTTGCTTGAACGAACTTGCACCACTTGAACTTCACCATCCTTTTGTAGGTCATGCGTGAAGAAGAACTTAGGTAAAATGTGCTTTGTCCGATCTCCCTTGATGTAGCCGTCCTTGAGCTGAGCGATACATGGCTACGTTGTCTTCACATATGATGGTCTTTGATGTTGTAGTAGCTGCGCCTTGAAGAAGGCTGCCTACGTACCCTTGGAAGGGATCAAGCCACACGTAGTTCCTATTTATTGACCATGCCATAATCTGATCTTACCTGCATCAGCAAAACAAACTAAACCAAGGCAAACTAGACCTTTTTTGGTTAGATCAGTATAGAATAAATCCAAATAAACAGAGTAGGAAGAATAAACTTTAAAATTTAACCAAACCTTCCTTCAAACCTTTCCAGTGCCTTTGGGTTGATCATGAACTAAATTTAGACAAAGGAGGTTCACGGCAAAACATATGTCTGGTCTAGTGTGGCTAGCCAAATACATTAACGCTCCTATGACACTGAGGTATGGCACTTCAGGACCGAGAACTTCTTCCTCGTCCTTCTTTGGACCAAATGGATCACTATCCAATCCAAGGCTTCTCACCACCATTGGGCCTGGTCAATGGGCGGGCCTGGTCCTTATTAAATATCCTTGAGTACTTTTTAGTATATGCCTTTTGATGCACAAGGATTCCATTATTCATGTACTCAGGTTGTAATCTCAAACAGAACTTAATTATTGCCTAGGTCTTTCTTTTAGATATACTCAACTGTTTGGTCGATTACCCAGAGGTTTAAATTATTCATATACACTGCTATGATTACAAATCCTTTGTTTGCAAACCTCTTTATGAAAATACATGGACTAATGGTATCATTTATAACATTCCATACGCCCATTTGGTCTAAGTCCATGAAAGGATTTGTCCAGCCTTATGCAGTGATATTCTCGAGAATCTTTCTTATCTTTGAGCTCAATACCCTCTGGTAATCTCATATATATTATCCAGTGGACTTATATAAATATGCAGGCATTACATCCATTAGCCGCAAATCAAATCTTTTCCTTTATATAGCCAGACTTAGCATCCACCACAGGGGAGTATGTTTCTTCATAATCTATCCCCGGTCTTTGTGAGAATCCTTGTGCTATAAGCCGTGCCTTATATAGTTATATCTCACGATTTCATTATTCTCATTTCTCTTCTTCACAAAGACCCATTTGTGTCCTACTGGTTTTTACATCGAATGGTGTCCTTAAGGTCAGACCAAACTCATTCCTTTTCTTAATGATTCTTAGCTCCACGTTTTATGGTCTTGTACCATTTAATCAATCAAGTCTTTGAGTGCACTCTAGTATAGACGTGGGCTCCAGATCCTCATTTATATTCATAAATTCAAGTGCTACCTTGCATGCAAAATCATCTTATGTCGACATTTCTTATATGTTCCATTATGTTCCAAACATGATAGAATCGATTTGAGATTTATTATCACTACAAGAAAACCTGCAATTTGGGACTCTTTGTTGTGACTATTTTTATGGTCGCAAAAAAGCGCGACTACTTTGTGTCTGTTTTGCGACTGTTAAACAACTACAAACGAAACAGATGGAAACTGGTCGCTTATTAGCGACGGAAATAAGTAGTCGGACAAAAGTCTCAATTAAGCGACTACTATCCGACCGTTTACCGATTCAATATTATTGGTCGCAACAAGGTCGCACTTTGAGACCACTTAGCGACTTGTTATCTATATAACTCTTTTTTTTACAATTTGTCTAAAGGTCACAAAACGGTCGCAAATTTTGCAACATATTTGCGACGAACAAAGATAATCGATCACATTTATCTGAGATTTAGCGACCACTTTGTTACATATTAACAACTCTCGATATTAAACATTCGAAATATCAGATTTGAGGTTTGTGACCATAATCCGACATATTGTGTGACCATTGTACGACTGATGTTGTGACCCTTTCGCGTCTAGCACCTGAGATTAGTGACTATTTTGCTACATATTACCAACACTCGATATTTTCAATTCGAAATTTGTAAATTGAGGTTTGTTTACATGTTTTCTAATATATTACTACTTTGATTTTATTGAAGTTAGTTAGAAAAGACTTAACCAACCTCTTGAAATTCAATGTTTACAATCCATACATTCAAAAGTTCCAAATCCATATATAACTAAGCATGTCTCTTTATGAACATAATAGGGAACTTTGTAAAATTTCTAAAATAAGTTAAGAAGGCCAGGTTTGATCAACCTAACACTTATATATGTACTCTATGCTACTAAAGTGAGTGTTTACTAGTGATTTCTATCAGCATAGTGAATCAAATCCAAAAATTTTGTATTTTTCTATAGTGACTACTCATTATCTGTCTCAACTTAGTCACACTTTACGACTAGTTTGTGACATTTTCGCGATTGTACCTATATTGTGACTAAATTACGACAGGTTTTGTGACTATTTGCCGACGAATATTGCAACGGTTTTGCGACTTTTGCGATGTTTGTTATATTTTAAGAAATTTTGCTAACTATTTTGTGACCCTTTCGCGTCTAGCACCTGAGATTAGCGACTATTTTGCTACTGATTACCAACGCTCGATATTTTCAATTCAAAATTTGTAAATTGAAGTTTGTTTACATGTTTTCTTATATGTTACTACTTTGATTTTATTGAAGTTAGTAAAAAAAAGACTCAACCAACCTCTTGAAATTCAATGTTTACAATCCAAACATTCAAAAGTTCTAAATCCATATGAACTCATCATGTTACTTTATGAACATGATAGAGAATTTTGTAAAATTTATAAAATATGTTGAGAAAGCCATGTTTGACCAACCTAACACTTATACATGTATTCTATGCTACTAAAGTGAGTGTTTATGAGTGATTTCTATCAATATAATGAATCAAATCCATAGATTTTGAATTTTTTGTGTTGTGACTTTTTATTGTCTGTCTCAACTTAGTCACAGTTTGCGACTATTGTGTGACATTATTGTGACCTGTACCTTTATTGTGACTAAATTACGACAAGTTTTGTGACCATTTTCCGACGAATATTGCAACTGTTTTGCAACTTTTGTTAAATCTTATGAAATTTTCCCTAAGTATTTGGGCGCTTAATTTTCCCCCCAAATAATTGATGTTGCGATTGTTTTGCGACTAAAGAGCGACTCTTTTCGTTAATTACTAGGCAACACACACTCGACTTTTCACTTTCTTCATTCTCTCTCGATCTTCTTTCTCTCTCGATCTAGGGTTTTTTCTCTCTAACTCTGCGATTCTTCTTCTTCTCTCTCGATCTAGGGTTTCAATCTCTCTCTCCCTGAATCGATTCCTTCTCTTCTTCTCTTTCGCTTCATTCTCATCGTCTCAACAACGACCTCTCCGTCAGCCACAACCTGCGGCTCAAGCTTCACAACCAATGTACCAGAATCCCCATCATCAACCGCCGCCTCCTCCAAATCCGGAGCATCAACCGCCGCCTCAGGAGCCGAATCGTTCCAAAAGTGTCACATGACAGCTTGTTTGCTACTCATCTACGTCGCCATTGCTTGGTTGAAGATGGTGCCGATGTAGACGATTCGATCCCGTGGTCAGTTCTTTAAGATCTCAGATCTAAGTCTCGTTTTTTGTATGTCGGTGGTCTTTGGAAACATCTCTCTTTTCTTTCTTCCTGTTTCGTTTAACCAAGCGATTGGTGCTTCGACGCCGTTTTTCACCGCCGTGTTTGCCTACCGGATGAGGCTTACGAGAGAGGCTTGGTTGACTTACTTCTCTCTTGTCCCTGTGGTCACCGAGGTCGTTATTGCCAATGGGGTAATTACTCTTCTTTCAACTCTTAAAATTGAATCCTTTAAGTATGCATTTTGTTTCTGGTTTTGATCCAATGAGAACGTATTTTGAGTATGTATTGTTACGGCTGATGAAATCTTAGAGAGGTTGATATAAATGTGAATATGGAGCATGAACTAGAGCTAAATCTGGTTCATTTCAATTTTTATGTTGCCATCATAGGTATAGTTTTGGAGCAAGTAACTAGATATTATGAGCTGAATATGGTTGATTCAGTTTCATCTAAAGACTCTTACCATCACTTAAACATGTATAACCTAATCTTCAGTGAATTCAGCAATCACAATTATACTATGGTCTCTGAAAGAGTAAGTAAAATATCTTTTCTTATCATCAACGTTTATCTACTCGTCAAATCATAATTTCAAGAATTTGGGTCATCTTTGTTATGTGTTTAAAACATGGGTGTGTTAACATCGAGACCAAAGGAAGGATGGTCCAGAAGGCTAAAGCAAATTTTCTTTTAATAATTAGTGACTTTGGACCTTCCAGTAGTTTGTTTACTTAATTAACAAAAGATGCACTAAGTCATTGTTTCTTACTTGGTTATGTGGTTGGCCTGCAGATATTCATTGGGTTGTGTCAGGATATACAAAAGTAAGTTCTTTTGCTTTTTTATGCATTCGTAAAAGTTAGGAATTAGAATCAGCTCAAAGTCATTTAGCTGAAAGAGATTGTGACTTCACTAGATATGCATTGTATAAGGAACACACATGTCACACAGAATTAATATAAAATTTTCTTCCTAAAGAGGTCTAATATTGTATGCTTCATGAATGGTTCTGTCTCTTAAATGACTAAGATTATTCAACAGTTTTGATGTATTGCTTGATCAGCTCTTGATTGTCTTCACTTTGGTAATAAGCTTTTTTGTTTTGTACAGTTGGAGACCTTAATCATCTCATCTCTCCAACCATAACTGATGCAGTTCTTGGAGACCTTAATCAACTTGAACATTGGCAGAGGAACAAGAGAACGCTGCAAGTAAGGCTTCAAGAAGTTCGTCACTTTCCTTCACCACTGAAAGTTGATTGTTTTTACTCTTTTAAGCTAGCTCACTTCAAGAAATTTGACTCTATCTATATTAGTTTTATTTTGTTTTTAGACTTAGGCATCACTTACGATATTAGTATAAGACTTGGTATGATATTATGTAAACTTGTAAACTAGTCTTTTATTTGCTTATGTTTTTGTACTCTATAATACTTTGTTAGGATGGTTTTTATTAGTGTTTTTGAATGATGGATTATTTGCATTTGAATGAAGTATTGCAGGTTTGGGATTATTTGCATTTGAAAGCGAATTTGCAGGTTTGGGATTATTAACGTGTAACCAATATGTGACCAAACTAATTAACAAATGTGACCAATGTGTGACTACACATTATTACAAGAAACTCCAAATCTAGTATCAAAATGGTTACTAATAGAAGACTCTTTTGCTACACAACAATGAGAGTCTTAAATTGGTCGCAAACAATTAAGACTCTTTTGCGACCAAATTGGTACTAAAAGATATATCGTTTGCGACTAATGTGGGACTAAATATTCGATCCAAGAACTCTTTCGTTTGAACCGAACAAGTCGCAAACTAGTTGCTAACTTACGTTAGTCGCTCTTTAGTCGGAAATATACAACGACATTAACCCGTCACAGATTAGTCGTTAATATGCGACGCTACAATTTATGTTGGAAAAGAGTCGCAAATTAGCGACTATCTTGGGACTGGAAAATTTTGCGACCGTTTTTTAGCGACTATCTTAGTTAGTCGTGAAAGAGTCGCAAAACCCTATTTTGCGACCGTTTTGCAACCAATATGGGGGTCGCAAATGTCGTGTTTTCTTGTAGTGTATGGTCAGGACCTTTAATACTTTGCAGCTTGGCGTCCCAAGCTACATTATATGGTACATGTACCTTAGAGCCGGCCGGCCTTATCTCCATGTCTAGGATGGTTTCCTTAGTAACCTCGGATTCCTATTGCACCTTTATTTAATTTCCGAGGGTTTTTATCATTGGAACTTATTGGTCTACCACGTTTCTTACGTTGTCTAGACTCTGTAACAACTTGATTGTGTTCCTTGTGAACATCAATACGTACTGGTGCATTACAAGCTGGTATGTACGCTTTTATAACTCTCTTTGGGTCATCAAAGGAATCTGGCAATTCATTAGCTAGCTTTTGCAAATTTATTATCTTATGGACCTCTGAATCACACATCAGAGTCCAAGGATCTTGCCAATTTAAGGATGTTTGATTCCATGATATTTCTTTGACCAGCTTGTTTGTCTCTCCACCTAAAGTAGGAAATTCGGATTCATTAAAATGACAATCCGCGTATCTAGCCTTAAATAGATCACCCGTAGTTGGCTCTAGATACTTAATAATGGTGGGAGAATCAAATCCAACATATATTCCCATCCTCCTTTGAGGTCCCATCTTTGTTCTATGTGGTGGAGCAATCGGTACATATACGGCACACCCGAATGTCTTTAGATGGGATATGTCTGGCTCATGACCCGTTAATAATTGGGATGGCGAATATTTATGTTCACTAGATGGCCTTATGCGTATAAGCTCTGATGCATGCAAAACAGCATGTCCCCAAGCGGCTACTGGAAGCTTCGACCTCATGAGTAATGGTCGAGCTGTCAATTAAATTCGTTTAATGAAGGATTCCGCTAATCCGTTCTAAGTATGTAAATGTGCCACGGGATGTTCCACACTTACCCCCATGGACATACAATAGTCATTAAACGCTTGGGACATGAATTCACCGGCATTATCTAGACGTATAGTCTTAAGCGGAAAATCTGGAAAGTGGGCTCTCAGTCTTATGATCTGGGCCATGCGGTATTTAAGACCGAATCATGCAATCGATTTTAGACTAGTCCATGCGGTATTTAAGACCAAACCATGCGACTATCTTGTCTATGCATCAATGAGGACCATGAAATATCTAATTGTCCCACATGGTGGGTGTATTGGTCCACATATATCCCCTTGTATCCTTTCCAGAAAATTTAATGTCTCTTTATTTATCTTTGCCGGTGATGGCCTTATAATGAGTTTCCTTGTGAACATGCTTCACACGTGAGATTCTTAGGGATAACTCTTTTCTTTTTTAGGGTGTGCCCCTTTGAATTTATCATAAGCTTACGCATCATACTATGACCCGGATGGCCAAGCCGGTCATGCCATAAAGTGAACTTTTCGTTGGACTCTTTCATTGCCATATTAGCTTCTATCATATTGATTTTAGCATAGTAGAGACTAGTGGATAATGCGGGTATAGTCTCTAGGACTTTCTTATGTCCTTTGGTGATCTCAATTATATTTAGGAATTCTTTGTTCCCTTCACCCTTTGTTTCAATATGGAAACCATTCAATCTTATTTCTTTGAAACTGGGTGAATATAAGGCATCGCTTAGTTCAAGATGTGTGCCATTTGGTAATAGAATATGGGCTTGGCCGTAGCCCTCAATAAGATTTGTTATACCCGCTATAGTGCTAATATTGGCATTTTTTCATTATGAGATTTAGGAAAATATCTCTTATCTTTTGTGTGGCTCCACTATCCACCACAAATATGTTCTTGTCCTCGGCCATTTCTTATATGGACAAGAATCATGTTTTAAACATAAAATAATATAAAATAAATTCAAGGAAATAACAATCAATGAAAACATAAAATACAAAGAAAACATAGAGGTTTTGATGTCGAACTCAGATTTATCAACTTGATTCTTTTAGGCAATCAGAAGTCTCATACTCTATTAGATCATCTTGATCATGTTCACCATTTTTATATACCAAATGGGCTTTAGGATTCTTCCTTTTCACACTCTCTTGATAGAGGTCACAACGATGTTTGGAAGTCCTACATATCTTAGCCCAATGGTTCCCCATTCCACATCTATGGCATACTCATTTGGTCGAGTGTTGTGGTTTGGAAATACCACATCGTCCTCGCCCTCGAACACGGCCGGAATTGGGTCTACATCCACGGTTATAGTGGTTCCCACGGCCGGATAAGTTATAGTGGCCACAACCACGTCCTTTCCATCCACTATGGCTACTGCCGTGTGGTCTATTACTTTAGACGTGGTTAGATTCTTTGGATTCTTTCTTATCCTCTGCGGCCTTATTGGCATCAGGTAATGGGGTTAATCTATGAGGTCGTAATTCACTGTTTTTATCAGTAAGTCATTAATTTGTTCATCTAGCAATAGACTCATCCACGGACTTATAGTCCTGGATTATGAGACTCTCAATAAGATGGTGGCTAATATTGCCTTGTATCTATCTTTCTCTCTTGGCATTATTGCCTTATTAGATACATTCACCAAGTCCTTTTGACTTTTAGGATAATCTTAGTATCCATTGCCCATTTTAAATAATTATCTCCTAAGAGATTTGGGACAGTAAAATACAAGTTGTAATTCAACATCTACAAGGAAAAGTTTTGAGTCAAAATCATGTAATTGTTAGTGTCATGCGGTATTTGAGACCGAACCATGAATCGATTTACTTAGGGATTTGACTTTCCTCTTTTGCTTAGGATTAGATTTCTTCTTTTGCTTAGGATTAGATTTCCTCTTTTAATTAGGATTAACTTTTCCTTTTCCTTTTAGGATTTACTTTCCTCTTTACTCTAGGATTAATTTTCCTATTTCACTTATGATTTTAGATTTTTAAGATTTCCTATTTTATTTAGGATTTGGAAATTTTCTATTTTGAATAGAATTAAGGATTTTCCTATTTACAATAGGATTTAAGATTTTCCTATTTTAATTAGGATTTTAGGGTTTTAAGATTTACAATAGGATTATCTTTTCTAAGGTTTCTAGGGTTCATGCGATTTTAGTTTTAGGGTTTCTAACAACTTATGCATGTAATCAATCAAAGAAACAATCAATCTAACAACCTAAACAACCTCAATCAATCGATTATATTTTAGGGTTTTAGGTTTCCAATTCGATTTAGGGTTTTAAAAGTTTCGGCCATGGCTAAGTGTTTTCGAGTTTGCGAGTTTGAGATTAAGCAATAATAACTTTTCTAGAAACTTAAACGAGTCAAGCAATCGGATCATCCAAGGAAATAACAATCGCTTATCTAGCAAGGTTCGTTTTTAGAGTTTCTCTTTGCTTAACTTTCAAGTTCGATTGTTGGTTCTTTAGCTTTAGGGTTTTGATGTTACCTTTCACCTTATGGGGTTGTACGGACTAGAACCGGGAGCTAAAGACCTCGGTTATCAACTTGTCACGAGCGTATGGTCCTTGGAAGGAATCGCCGAGCAAAGGAGAAAGCAAACGGACGGACGAGCTAGGGTTTTCAAAACAAATCGGCGCACACTGTATCTGTGCGTGAGGGCGCGTCGGTGGTCAGATCGACAAGCCGTTTGCACTGATGGATTCGTCTCGGCGAGGGCTTCGATTTGAGAGAAAGACCTCTTTGAAGTTCCAAGGCAGATTTCTTTGCGTTTTAGGGGTTTGATGGAGATAGAGAGATCGTGAGATTAGAGTTTATGTGTCAGATCTTTAGCTAAGGGATTTAGAGGCTATCGTGCTGATAACGTGTTATGAATCTCGTGTATTCTCTTATTAATGAATGAGGTTACAACTTATATATATACACAATAAGGGAGACAAATCCCAATTGGACTAGGAAACCCTAAAGCCAAAGCCCACTAAGACTAACATAAACCGTCATTGGGCGAATCTTCTAGAAGATAGACATGGGCCTTCTAGAACATGGACATGGGCCACGGTTATGGAGTCCATCCGTAATGTGGTTTACAACAACAAAAAAGTATTTCCAAAACGCCTTATATTTTGAAACAGAGGGAGTACTAAAGAAACTAATCTTATATAGCCCAGAGTCATGCTTCATTAAACACACTTCCTTTAAAAAAAATCAAGAGGATTAGTGACTTTAGCTGTTTTGAATAGCATCTTTTCATTAATATTTATGTCGGAGATTGAAACAAAACACAGAAAAAAGAGACTAGCATCTTTATTGCATTGTTATAGAATAATGCATACTTGAGTTAGCTGTCTACTTTCATGACTTCCACACAAAAGTGTAGGGTGAGTTACTCAAATAACACATAAAAGTGTGTTTATTACTTATATAGCTTGTACTATTCCTATGATCATTACTGGCCAAATAACCCTTGAATTGTTGTTGTAGGAAAAAAGTTATTACAAAACTGCCATTAAAAGATGCTATTTTTGTGGGAGAGAGAAAGTGAGTTTTAAGAGG